ATTCTTATTGATACGGCATGTACAAATCCAGCACATGTTGCTACTTTTAATATTTAATTCAGAAGAAGTCAAAATACTGGCTAATAGCTCTTGTTAGCCAGTAAATTTTATCAGTAGTTGCACCTTTGAAAAGTAGTTGCTGTGTGAAGTTAACAATTGTACACTTTTTAGGGTTGTTTTACAAATGTGTCATTTATCACTGTTGTTGCTCTTATTATCATTATTAGTTGTGACATTAAGCAAATAAGTTACTCATTATGCTTACTCATGTAAAAAGTGGGGATAAAAATAGTATTGACCCTAATTGGTTATTTTGGGAATTAGATGAGGTAATAATGCATGCAAAAGCCTGATATACAGTAAACCCTTGAAAAATGTTCACTACTATTTTAACTTATTATTTCCAATCTTCTAAAGTTTAAGAACTTTCATTTCTAAGTCATTATCTGAGTTCTTTATTTAGAATTCAGCATCCACTTTTGGCACTTTGATTATACACTTTATATAGTTACCTTAACTCCTGTAGAAAAGATAAATGGTATCTGTACAGCTAAATCAGGGTTGTTAATACTGGTATTTTTAAGAGTCTTCCATGAAGAACTCCAACATTGGCTGCTAAATAGAGTTGCATAATCCCTTTTTTGAGGTCTTTTAGAACAAAATATTTATACTATAATTTATTCCTAGAATGATCTGTCAGTTTCTAAAACTGAGAATCACTGGATGATTCTAAAAGGAGTGCTAATGTGGACTTAGACTTACTTGCTCTGAGCTCCAGCACTGGGGCAGCAGCTCTAAAGGCATCAAAGACAGTGTCTAGTGAGGGCTGGAGGGGCAGCTTTCTCCAAGAAAGAAACTTTGGAAGAGGCCATTGTTTCTTTGCTGAACCCTCCCTCTACAGAGCTGGTAGGCAGACATCATATATGAGTTTCCATCAGTCTGGCTAATACTGTTTGCCCTGTCCCACCCACCCACCTTGCAGGCCCACCCAAGCTGTTTCCAGTGTATTTTCCACACAGTCTATCTTGGTTCACAAGCTTCGGATTTTTCTAAACTCTTTCAAAGGTTCATAAACCCTAAACAAGCAATGCCTGGCATCTTGCACCTCATATCTCTTGCAGCGTGGGCACAAGCCCAGCACTAGTGGCATATGGCTTCATTTTGCAGCTAGGCTTCTGCCCAGTGCCTCCAAGCCCAGCAAAATAGCCATCTGTAGATTGTTTTGTAATTCATGCTGGGTGGCCCCTGGCAGGGCATAGGCAACCAGTGACTTTGGCTTATACCTCCAGGTAGGCCCTAGAGTTAGCACACCAGGTGGACAGCTTCGCACCACACCAAAACACCACCCAACCACCTCCATGAGTGAGAGACTCAAGAGGCAGGCTCACTGGACTCCAGAACCCTGCTTCAGTGAGTTCTGCTACCTGAGATTGGCCCCTGCATAGCCTATCCTCCACTGTGGTTGTTGTCAGTCTCTCTACAACCTTTTGGACTGGGGATAAACCCCTCTCATTGATCTGCAAACAGCAATCAAGGCACAGCCACAACAGGAAGGTCTATTCAGGCAACATGACATGGGGGCACTTAGGCTGCGCCCCTGGGCCCTACAGGCCGCCTACTATATAAGACCACTCTACCAAGACTGGGAGATGTAGCAGCTCTACCTAATACATAGAAACAAGCATAGGGAGGCACCCAAAATGAGGAGACAAAGAAACTTGTTTTAAATGAAAGAACAGAACAAAACTCTAGAAAAATAACTAAACAAAATGGAGACGAGTAATCTACCAGACACAAAGTCAAAACACTGGTTATAAGGATGTTCAGTGAACGTAGGGGAAGAATAGAGGAACTTAATGAGAACTTCAACAAAGTTTTATAAACTTAAAAATAGAGATAGAAAACAAAAAAGAACTAGTTAGAAATGAAGATTTAATTATCTGAAATGAAGACTACATTAAAGGAATTAACCCAAGGTAGATGAAGTAGAGGATCAAATCACTAATTTGGAAGATAAGGAAGCAGAAAACACCCAATCAGAAGAGCAAAAAGAAAAAAGAATAAATTTAAAAAAAAAAGAGGATCGTTTAAGGAGCCTCTGGGACAACTTCAAATGTACTAACATTTGCCACAAGGAAAAGAGAGAGAACAAGGAATTGAAAATCTATTTGAAAAAATAACAAGAGAAAACTTCCCTGACCTGGTGAAGAAAATAAGAGATACAAGTCCAGGAAGCGTAGAGTCCCAAACAAGATGAACCAAAAGAGGCCCACACCAAGATATATCATAATTAAGGTACCAAGTTCTAAAGACAAAAAGAGAATCTTAAAAACAGCAAGAGAAGAGCAGTTAGTTATCTACAAGGGAGCTGCCATAAGACTGTCAGCTGATTTCTCAACAGAAATATTCCAGGCCAGAAGGGATTGGTTTGAAATATTCCAAGTGATGAAAAGCAAGGGCCTACAACCAAGATTATTCTACGTGGAAAGCTATCATTTAGAACTGAAGGCCAAAGCTTCCCAGACAAAAAAAAGGTTGGAGTTCATCACCACCAAAGCAGTATTATGAGAAATGTTAAAGGTCTTTCTTCAAAAAGAATAAAAAATAAGATAAAAATATGAATAATAAAATGGCAATAAATACATACTATCAACAATTACTTTAAATGCAAGTGGACTACATGATCCAATTAAAAGACATACAGGGGCTAAGAATGGATAAGAAAATGAGACTCTTACATGTGCTTCACCTCATATCAAAAGATAAGCAGAGACTGAAAGTAAAGGGATGGAAGTATGTTCTCCCATGTAGTTGGTTTCCTTTTCATTTTGATGATGGTTTCTTTAGCTGTACAGAAGAAGCTTTTTAATTTGATGTCCCATTTGTTTATTTTTTTTCCTTTATTTCCATTGCCCTAGGAGATATGTCATATACATCAGACAAGGGTTTACTCTTCAAAATATATAAAGAATTTATACAACTCAATACCAGGGAGACAAGCAATTCAATTAAAAAAATGGGCAAAGGACAAGAATAGACATTTCTCCAAGGAGAACATGCAGGTGGCCCATAGACATAGGAAAAAATGCTCAACATCACTAGCCATCAGAGAGATGCAAATTAAACCACAATGTGATATCACCTCACACTGGCCAAAATGGCTATTTTAAATTAATCAACAAGTGACGAGTGCTAGTGAGGATGTGAAGAAAAGGGAACCCTAGTGCACTGTTGATGGGAATGCAGACTGGTGCAGCCACTGTGGAAGACAGAATGGAATTTCCTCAAAAAATTAAAAATGGAACTGCCTTTTGACCCAGTGATTCCACTACTGGGCATGTATCCTAAGAATCTTAAAATATTGTTTCAAAAGAACTTATGCACACCAATGTCCTTGGCAGTGCTATTTACAATATCCAAGATTTGGAGACAGCCTAACTGCCCATTAGATGAGTGGATTTAAAAACTGTGGTACATTTACATGATAAAATACTATGCAGCAGAAAGAAAGATGGAATTCCTACCTTTTGAAACAGCATGGATGGAACTGGCGACTATTATGCTAAGTGAAGTAAGTCAGTCAGTGAAAGACAAATATCATATGATCTCACTTATAAGAGGAATCTAATGAACAAAATAAACTAATTAGCAAAATATAATCAGAGACATAGAATCATGGAATAGATTGACAGAGATAAGAAGGGAGGAGGGAGGTCAGACTGATTGAAAAAAAGGTAAAGTGATTAGTCAAAGAAAGTATATGAAGGACCAACTGTAATAGCATAAACAATAGATCATTAATTTTAAAAAGGAAGTAAAGTGATGGAAAAAGATAATTCATTAAAATAAAAAAGGTAGATATCAGTACCTATACCAGACAAAATGACTTTAAAACAGAGACTATGACAAGAGATGAAGAGAAGGACCCAGCAATTCCACTTCTTGGTATTTATCTAAAGAAACCCCAAACGCTAAATTAGAAAGACATATACATCCATATGTTCATAGTAAAGGAATATGACTCAGCCATAAAAAAGAATGAAATCTTGCCATCTGCAAAAACAAGGATAGACCTAGAGGGTATTGTGCTGAGATAAATCAGACAGAAAAAGACAAATGCTGTGTGATTTCACTTATATTGTGGAATTTAAGGAACAAAATAAATGAAAAAGTAGAACTGAAACAGACTCACAGATAAAGAGAACATTTTGATGGTTGCCAGTGGGGAGGGGCATTGGCGCAAGGGTGGAAAAGGTGAAGGTATTAAGTACAATTGGTAGTTACAAAAATTCATGGGGGTGTAAAGGACAGCATAGGGAATACAGTCAGTAATTTTTTAATAGCTGTGTATGGTGTCAGATAGGTACTAGATTTATCAGGGTGATCATTTCGTAAGTTATATGAAAGTCTAATCACTGGACTGTACACCTGAAATTAATGTAATATTGTATGTCAACTGTGATTGAAAAAAGTTACTTAAAAATAAATTTAATATAAAAGAAAAGGAGTGCTACTGTCTTTTGATCATTCTTGGAATGATTGAATGGCCATGACTACTGTTGCTGCTGCTGCTTATAAAGGGCTCCTTTTTTCCTTATCTTCCTTGTAGGTTGGTTAGTGGAATAGGAATATCCCCTTCCTCTGATGCAAAGTGAACAAAATGTGATATGCACCGCCTTTCATAGTGCCTAAAAAATAGTAAATACTCAGAAAACATTCATAAATTTGCAAGGCAGTAAGAACCTGAGCTTGATTACATATGGGAATAGTCAAATAAATGTATGACAAAAACACCGTAGCTTTCTATAAAAGGGCTACAGACAAGAGAGATAAAAACAAGAAATAATGAAACCATGTTGAAAAGCATGAATTAAAGCAGAGACTGTCACTGTGCTTTTGGGGATCTTAGTGCTATTACATTTTTAATGCTCTGTACCTTTGCAAGAATGACTCTATTGTAACTGACACTAAAATAAATGTCAATGTATATTCTCTTTCAGATTTACCAAAAATTTATCTCCTGACAAGATAAATCTAAGTACCCTTAAAGGAGAAGGCGAACTGAAGAATTTGGAGTTAGATGAAGAGGTGCTCCAGAATATGTTGGATTTGCCAACATGGCTTGCTATCAACAAAGTTTTTTGTAATAAAGCATCTATTAGGGTGAGACTGATATCTGTGAAAAGCCATTTTCTGTTTTTATTTTTTAATTTCATCCCTATCTTTTAAAATAAATATTTTGTTTTAGATAATTCTGTAAAAAAGTATTTTTATTAATATAGTTTAGAAAGATGAATACCTTTGTCTAAATAATTACATGAATGTGTGCCTTATAAATTTAATCATATAATATATTAGTTATTAATTTGTAGAGTTTAATTTTCATTTAAAATTTCATGTTATTAACATTTAAATAAAATTATTGGTATTTTATAAATAAAATAATTGGTTAAACTTGGCACATTGAAACTTTTTTAAAAAGGATTTGTTGTCAAATGCAACAATTTAAATTTGTTTTTATTTTAAAACTCAAAACTATCAATAACTGAACCTAAAAACAAAAACAAAAGTGAACTACTAGAACAGGAACAGATCACAGAAATGGAGATCACATGGAGGGATATCAGCGGGGGATAGGGGAAAGGGGAGAAGAGGATAAAAGGTACAGGGAATAGGAAGCATAAATGGTAGGTACAAAATAGACAGGGAGAGGTTAAGAATAGTAAAGGAAATGGAGAAACCAAAGAACTTATATTATGACCCATGGACATGAACTAAGGGGGAAAATGCTCATGGGAGGGAATGTGCAGCATGGAGGAGATTAAAGGGAGGAAAAAATCGGACAACTGTAATAGAATAATCAATAAAATATACTTAAAAAACAAATTTGTGTTTATTTTAAATGAAGATTTTAAAATTATTATTACTACTACTTATTAAAACTTATTCCTACTTGCCTTGACACTATTCGTATCACTTCTTGCTCTTAAAGACTAGACTTAGTTAGGCCCTGACTGGATAACTCACTCAGTGCATTGTCTTTATATGCCAAGGTTGTGGGTTCAATTCTTGGTCAGGGCACATACAAAAATCAACCAATGAATGCATAAAAAATGAAACAACAAAAACTGATGTTTCTCTCTCTCTCTCTCTCTCTCTCTCTCTCTCAAAATCCATAAATTATAAATTTTAAAAAAGACTATCTTAGTTTGAAAGCCTGCTTAGTAGAAATAGTGAATACTAATTTGTTTCATAAAGTTAAACTTGGGCACCAAAAGGAGACTGTGGGGAAAAAGATAGTCTCCTTTAATTCTATACTTCTAATCTTCATAAACCTAAATATCTCCAAAGATATGATATTATAGTGCAGGTTATGTTTCAATATTTGATATTGGCTACATTTTACAGCAATGGCTTCACTTTTGTATTTGTCTTGAATATCTACAAAAAGATTGGTGAGAATTTCAGAATATAAAAAATTGTTAAAATGAACAAATTACAAATTATGCTTTGCTGGGAAGTCTTAGCTAAAATTCTGAAATTAAAATGTGTTTTAAGGACTGGAAAGAAGATATTTAAGGCAACCTGAAATCTTTATTTAAAAAGATTACTAGGAAAGTATGACTAGTCTTTTATGCAGTATGGGTACGTCTGATTTTAAGAGTATAAGTGAGTTGCTTATTTAATATTTTGCAATTTAAAAAATAAGTCATCTGATACAGTTTGGTATGTTTATCACTATATTAAGAAAAACTGTTGGTTACTGTTTTACAATTTTTTTAATGATTTGTTTTAAAGCAAAAATTTTTTTTCTTTTAGATCCCATGGACAAAACTGAAAACACATCCTATCTGTTTGGTGAGTTCTGAATTGCCTCAGAAATAAACATTTATATAAGCATATGATCTAACTATTCTTTTAATATTAACACGTTCTGGGATTAGAAACTGCACTTCTATAACCTGATGATCTCAGTAGTATATGGCTACTTCTTAGAGTTTTTCTCTCATAGTCCTATAATGCAGCTTTTCTACCAGATAGTAATTACCTTGAGAAAGGACTGAGCACATTGTTTTCTATTTTGATATGTCTCTTTTTTAATCAGTTAAATTTTATTTATTATTAAAAAACTTTTTTTTATTGTTCAATTACGGTTGTCCCCATTTTTCCCCCATTACCCTCCTCTGCCCTACCTACCCCACCTCCCACATTCAGCACCCCGCCCCCGTACTCTCCCCAACCCTTGTCTGTGTCCATTGGTCCTTTATTAGACATGTTCCTTGACTTAACCCTTCCCCTTCTTTCCCCTGTTGTCCACCTCTCCCCTCCCATCTGGTCACTGTCAGTCTGTTCTTTATGTCCCTGGTTCTGTTTTGCTCACTCGTTTATTTTGTTGATTAGGTTCCACTTATAGGTGAGATCACATGGTATTTTCTTTCACTGCCTGGCTTATTTCACTTAGCATAATACTCTGCAGTTCTATCCATGCTGTCAAGAAGGGTAGTAGCTCCTTCTTTCTTTCTGCTGCATATTGTTCCATTATATAAATGTACCATAGTTTTTTGATCCATTCATTTACTGATGGGCACTTAGGCTATCTTTTTAGGCCTTCAGAGAGACATTTAAAATGACTCTGCTTACTGTTTACTTTGCTCATAATGAAATGAAAGAGAATATAGTCTTAAATAATATTTTTATAATGTACATAACATAAAAAGGAAATATCTAGTTGTTTACTTTTTAAATGTAATTGTATTAGTCCTTAGATAAAGTAATAATGGAAATGAGTACATGTGAAGAACCACGAAATCCTAATGGCCCATCACCAATTGCAACTGCTTCAGGACAAAGGTAAGCCATTTCCATTAATCTGTATGACTGGCAAAGAGAAATTTTTCCCATTATCATTTCTATTATCTGCAGTAATGTAACATAAAACCCAATGTTTTAGTCCCTTCTCTCATCAAACATTTTACAGTTTTAGTATGTCTGTTATAAAAGTAGCAAAATTGATTTTTAGTCTCTTTTTTTTATCTTGCTTGTCTTGATATTTAAATAGTAATTGTCAACCAAAGGCAGAGCAGTAGTAGAAAAATGAAAGCAGAAGAGCTTAGGCATACTATAAATCAGATTTATTCTATGCATCGATAAAAAGTTAAATTGATGTCTAAAAAAATTATAGACCCTTTGGATTACTCTAAAATTTATTAAATAAAGAATGCTCACAAATTAGATTTTGATAGACAAAGTCAGATGCTAATAAAGTAGAACTGTGACCCATTTTACAAAGCCTTATTGAAAAGTTAGAATAGTTCTTGAAAAATAGATCTTTAAGACAATGCCTGTTTATTTTTGCATTCAGTGTGTTTGGATTTTGTACTGTACATCATTTCCTCAAGGCAGGATTTTGCACTATTTTAAATTGTACAACTATTCATGTAAAATGTTCATGTAGATTTTAATGTGATTGGTACAACTCAGCAGCCCTGAACATTTATAGTATTCTAGGTACAGAGTAAAACCAGTGATAATACACTTCTTGAGGTTAAAGAAGCACATACACAAACACACATACACACACTTACACTGTTCTCTTTTACCAAGGTCGAACCACCTTTACATCAGTGTATTGTACCAGATGTACAATTTATATTTGCACCACAGGTAATAGTGACTGGGAAAAGAGCTTTCACATGAACCTCTTTGTATTTTTTGCATTGTTCAGCAATTTGAGATTTTAGTGTATATTTTCAGGTTTGATAGAGTAGTTTGGAGCAGTTGGTCTTTAAATTGGCTAGAGTCAAAAAAATTAGCACATAGAGATGTTTATAAGATTATTGAAAGAGGAAAAGATCAGGAAAAATGATACTAATAAAAGATTTATTTTAGTTAGGTATGGCAGAAATTAGGTATTTTGTCAGTGTGCTAAATGTAGTTAATTGATAGTGTTCTTCCTCTTTCCATTTTTATAGTATCAATAAGATTTATATTCTGGATTTGTAATCATATGATGGCAACCCTTATATTTTGATGCATGGCAGTATGGTTCATCTATTTCATGTTTTTCAGACTTGCTTGATTGTAACAATCACTTAGGGTGTTTACTAAGTCTACAGAGTCTTTTAAGCTTCTTCTTTTGAAATTATGATTCATTAGGTTTATAATGGTTGTTTAGAAGATGAATATGGGCCCTGGCCAGGTAGTTCAGTTGGTTAGAGCATTGCCCCAATATACCAAGGTTGTGGGTTCAATCCCTGGTCAGGGCACATAAAGGAAATCAACTAATGAATGCATAAATAAATGGAACAGCAAAACAACAAGTTGATGTTTTCCTCCCTCAAAAAAAAAGTATGAATGTGTATTTTTTACAGTTCTTTATAGTCATGCAACTTCACGAAACACTGATCTATTTGGTTTCCAGCTAAGAGATTAAAATAGAGGGAAACTAATAATTAATGGGCTTAGAAGATACTTACTTGTAAACATGAAACTTAACCTTAATTTATAACGAATGACATAACCATCAACATGTAGACTTAGTCTTTGATACTGGCATCAGCCTGCTGATGATAAATCCTGCAAAACAATTGTAATGCTCTGTAATGTACATAAATTAGAGCAGATAGTATATTATAGACATATTCTTCTGATTCCAGGAATATTTGTACTTAAGTGACTGATATTTTTCCTTAGAATCAAAGCAGCTCCTCACTAAGATGCTGATGAGTTCTTACTCTTTGATTCTTAATTTTCTAAACCCAAGGTAGATGGTCACCTCTTTTTATAACAAAACTATGTCACGCAAGCCAAGAACTATGTAAATTACTACACATACACTGTTTCACTTAAGAACCACAACCACCTTTTGAAATAGGTATTATTTTCATTTTACAAAAGAGGACACAGGCTTACAGACTTTAAATAGTATTAATAATATACTACTGTTAATACTATGTTTTCATGAAGTATCATAAAACCAAAGACTATCATATTAACCAAAGAGAGAGACTATTTGGTTAATATGCATTACTTCATGCAATACTACAAAATATTACCTGACTTAAAAGATAAGTCAGGCCATGGCTGGGTAGTTCAGTTGTTTGGAGTCTTGTCCTGATAAACCAAGGTTGTGGGTTTGATCCCCATTCAGGGTACATGCTAGAAGGAGCCAATGAATGCATGGGTGGTGGAACAGCAGACTAATGTTTCTGTCTCTCTCCCTGCCCCCAACCCCTTCTCTCTCTCAAATCAATAAATAAAAAAATTTTAAAATGTATCACAAAAACATAAGTCATATGAGGTTTAGAAAGGTTAAGTGATTTCCATATTCAGTAAGGTAGTGAATCAAAAAGCATAGGAGCAGATATACTGGAGGCATGTACATAATCCATAAAGATGATGGATTTGTTTTTATTCCTGTTGGCTTTGAAATGTGTGAGAGCAAGCCTGGTGGAGCTATGTGGTACATGTTTGAATTTTACAGTCTGAAGTGAGAGATTGGGATAGAGACATGCAGTTAGGAATAATGGTGATATTGATAAAAATTGAAGTAATGTGCCAGTTGGGCAAACTTTCACCACCCCTCCTGCCAATATATTGATAGTCTATAGCCTACTTTCACTGTACTATTCATCATTCTCGAAGTATAACCTCTGCTTTCCTACTTATCTATGTCTTTCCTCATGCTTTTTCCTATTCTAAGATTTCCTTTCCCTCTCATCTCTCCCCATGGAAAGTTTTTTGTTTTTTTTTCTGGATATACTTCTCCCTAGTTATAAGCAATTTCCTCCTCTACTAAGTGTACTGATGATTTCCTTTTTAAAAAAACTACAGATAACCTCATGTTTCAGTTACTAGGGTCTTCCCCTGCTCCCCAAGTAACTTGAGATCCCTATAATGCCATAACTATATTTTGGTTTTCCTTATGTCCCAGTGTTGTTCACATAGTAAATGCACAATAAATATTAGTTGAATAGAATTAGAGAATGTGAACTTTTTCATACCTTATTCCTAAATTACGAGATTATATTCCAGCTGGACTCTGTATACTTCTTGATGTCAAGAATTTAACTTTCTTACTTACATTATAGATGCCAATTGCCTGGACTAATGCTTTTTGAGAAACTGATTATAAAAATTTAATTTGGGGAGTGACCTCCAGTTTTAAACACTGTTCGTCATTTTGAGAAGAACATTTTTATAACTTGCATGTAACCATGCTAAACTATTGTTTTAACAAAATAATTATTTTTAAAAACAAAATTTATAATATTATGATAGTTTATGACTTTGTGAGAATATTAACAGAAAATTTTTCTTTCAATGGTATTTTTTGGCTTTAGTGTATTATATATTGTTTTGCTTTACTTTTCCAGTGAATATGGCTTTGCTGAAAAAGTAGTTGAGGGAATTACTGTTTCCGTAAATTCCATTGCAATCCGCATTGGAGCAAAAGCCTTCAATGCATCCTTTGAACTTTCCCAGTTACGGATCTATAGCGTAAATGCCAACTGGGAACATGGAGATTTAAGATTTACTCGTATTCAAGATCCACAGAGAGGAGAGGTAAAGATTTTTTTCTTTGTTTAAAAACTATTTTAGTCACTGATAAGTAAAAGATGTTTAAAATCATTAACTTCTTGTGGTTACCTAGATTCACATACTACTAGATTTACTCTTGCTGTTTAACTGTACTTTTCTCTGTTTTATTCTTAATCATTATTAAATGTACATATATAATATTTTTATTGTAATAAATCCTCCAACCTGTAGGTTAGTAAGTTCTATTTTAACTTTAAGCTCTTCAGAATTGAATTTTACATTTACAAAACTAAAATATGTTATTTAAACTCTTGGTCACATGATTCAAATACTCTTTGTACTTTATATTAAAATTAAATTACTTGGAATAAAAGCATTAACAGCTTTACAGGTGATGAATATAATTATGAGGATGTGTTACTGAATTTATTGGAAGTAGACAATTTTTAAAAATATAATTATTCTGACTTTATCTAGAATGTCATATGAAAATTAGTGAAAAGGTACATTTCTGTTTTTTTTAAATATACATTTTTCTCATTCTATTTTGCATGTTCAAGTGAAGCTAATTTCTGTGTTCTCTTTAGGTTTTGACATTTAAAGAAATAAATTGGCAGATGATTCGAATAGAGGCAGATGCTACCCAGAGTTCACAACTTGAAATTATGTGCGCTCCTGTTCGATTAATAACCAACCAATCAAAAATCAGAGTCACACTTAAAAGAAGAGTAAGTTAGCAGGGTTTCCGGTTTGTTTTATGTAATAACTATTGGAATTGACAGGAAGTTTAAAATAATTTTTAGGCAAAATATTGGTATATTAAAACAAGCCAAAGTAAAAGGAAATATAGTAGCTTAAGCAATATGTGAAGATACCTACTGTAATATTAACATTTTTCAGTCCTCTAGATTTAATATTTCGATTTTTATTTTTTATGAATCAGTAGGTTTCTCAGTTGTCAGATATCTGTTGAATATTACAATTTTATTTCTCCTATTGACTCACTCAAGAGTGGGTAAACTTTAGTAACTAAAACTACTAGCTTTAGAAGTTTATTAAGAAATGACTGGTAATTAAGATAAATAGGGATGATAGGTACTTAAAGATGTCAGAATTTGAGAGTTTACTCTGGATTGTGATTAAATTTAATGACAGAGTAATAGTTTAAACAAGACTTAAAGTCTCAACAATATGTTTTGTATCACTAGACACAAATTACTATATTAAATTAGAAAAAAAATTTTAAAATATGTGGTTAAAATAGCATTTTCATTTTTAATTAATATTAATGCTCCTTTTGCTACCAGAATTAGTTGAATTGGCATAGGTAATTAAATGCCTTATTAGTTATAAGTGCAAAATTAAATTATATATGTACTTGTATCTATATTCCTTTTACCTGTTTAGGTAAAGGAATTTGTCAGTCTTTTTTACCACTGTATTGCCAGTACTAGGAGATATTCTTTTTATGCTTTTGGAACTCAGTAAATACTGGGTGAATGAAGGAAGGATCCATATTTAATTCATTCAAAACAAGTTTTCTAAAAAACAAGTACATTATAAGTTTTATTTCTTGGCTTAATTTTATGAATCAATTTTTTGACAGTTAAAAGACTGCAATGTCATTGCAACGAAATTAGTTCTCATATTGGATGACTTATTATGGGTTTTAACGGATTCTCAGTTGAAGGCTATGGTACAATATGCAAAGTCTCTTAGTGAAGCAATAGAAAAATCAACAGAACAAAGGAAGAGTATGGCTCCTGAACCTACACAGGTATGCTATTAAGTTAACAGGAAAAAAACCTTACTTTACATATAAATGGTTTAAAAATCAGAATGGATATTCTGGAATGTTTTCTTTATGTAAAATAGATCGTAATAATCTGAGTCCAGGAATCTCCTTACATATCTTACTGTAGAATTTTATATATTTGATACCTATATGAAAACATATATTAATTGTATTTCTGTCCGTATAGTGCTTATTTGTTTGGAGGTCTGTATTAGGCACTGGAATTAATGATGACAAAAATACTTGATTTCTCTTCAGGACATTAAAAATATACAATTTAAATATTACTAAAGATAAGACAAAAGGGAAAAAAACAGGTAATTATAGTCAAGGGTGGTATGTGAGAATTAATAGTGCAGAAAACTAAAACCCTGGGGAATTGCTGAAGTTGAACACAAAACTATTATAGTTGTCTGATGGCTGGTGCAAAAATGGGGGAAATACAATGATTACTTCTTAAAATCAGAAGCAGTACTAGTGTTGTCTGAAGAGTAAAAGGTTTACTAAAAATCTTTCCCAGTACTAAATTTTGAGAATTTAACATGAAAATGTTTGTAGAAGGGATATTGAAGATCCCATTGTGTAGTGTCTTTTGATAATTTTATAAAAAGTACAATTGCATTTTTACGTTAAAAGTCATTCGAGGAAAATGAATCAGGAGACTTTGCCAGACTTAAATGACAAAGTTTTATGTAGGGATCTTAAATGAACTGCAACTTGAGAAACACTACCAGGCCACACCTAGAGTGTTCAGAAGCAAAGAGAAGTTGAGAGTTTTTATAATTTAAAAAACAAAACAAAACATAGTTGAGAAGAACCAGTTCTCCATTCTTAGCCTCTGGGTTGGTTGAAGGGGGCAATTTTTGAGATGCCATGTGGTCTGGATAAGGAAACTGTTTCCTAAGTATGTCAGGTAGATAATGGATACATTTGTTCCTGAATGTTACCTGTAGGATTTATGTACATTCATGCATTGACCCACAACTGAAAAGTTTGAAAGTGTAAGCCATCAGGCTAGTTAAAGTAAAATAAAAGTTTCCTCATGGTTCCACTCACTCTGATTAATTTTGTTAGCTAACTGTAGTGACTCCATTTTGTTTCTTTACTCTTCCTCACTACTCAACAAAAATGTAGGGGTTACGGTAAAATCATACTTCTATGAAGCTACAGTATTTCTTTGGAAACTGAGTAACGTATTTCAGGTTTACAGTCTGGTGATTTGGCTTGTATGTGAGATTGGCGTACACTTAGGCTTTCACGTGTCTGTCAAATTGGCATTATTTACACAGCCTGCCTCCTTTGTGCAGGGCTAGACACTGGCGATATAAAAATGAATACTGTCTGACCTCTCATGGATCTCAGAGTATAATGGGGAATCAAATTAAAACAAATCATTGCAGTTCAACATAAATGCTAGAGTGCAGAATTAAAAAGAGGGGTGAGGTACAGAAGTTTTAATCAACTGCTTGTGGAGTTTGGAAAGGTTTCACTAAGGATAATGAAATTAAGTCTTAAAACACATAGATGTTTATAGGTGAGGGAAAGGGTATTTCAGATGAAGAAAAAGAATCTGCAAAAGTATGGTTATGTGAAAGAGAATAGTATTTCCTGATAAAGATGAGGAGTTTGGTGTTACTAGAACAGTGTTTTTGAGAGTGAGGTACACATGCCTCTGATAACTTTCCATATGACAACTTTCCAGTTTTTTAGGAAATTGAATACATCTTCCATTTTGATGTGTACTCTTTCTTAAATTTGGTCTACCTGAGAATGTTTCTTATGTTAAGGTATCAGACTGATTTTCCCTTTCCATAATTACTTTTATCCTACTTTACAATGGAAGGCATTCTTCTTATTTGTTCCCATTCTTACTGTAATGGATTTGTCCATGGGGGGGGGGGGGAACCTCGGGAAGCAACACAGGCAATTTGAAATACCGCTATCCTTATCAGAAGTGAATGACCAGTGATAAAGTAACAAGTTAGGTGATTTCCACCTGTTCACTTTCAGTATCTTTGAAGGAGGATCTAATAAATGTCAGCTTTTAGGCTATTAAAAGTAATTTATAATAGATTGCTTTGTGAGTCCTAGAATGTAACCTGGAGTTGAATCACATTACATTGCTAAAACAAGACTCACTTTATTCCAGCCTACCTGTTTATGTGATCAAAGTTTTTCAGAGCTTTTCACCATAAAAACAAATTAAGTAGGGAATTGATGGTAAGGCCTGTATCATTCTACCAGTGATATTTATTCAATAAGGTATCTTCGTAATTCTCTGGGGTAATCTAATTTTAAAAGTTTGATGAATAGAACACCGGACTGTAGCAAAGAATAGAATTTTCCTGGGCAGGTAGTCTGAATTTAGCAGAAGTATGTGGTGACTAAACATGAAATGCGTTATATGTTGAGGAATTTGGACTTTTTCCTATAGCCATGTTGAAGCCCATGGAAGTTTTTAAATAGGAAAGGACAATCAAATATGGCATGGTGGTATTACAGCAGCGAACACGATAACCGCTGCACCACCTTACATGGTGGTATTACAGAGAATGGACAGAAAAAGAGATAGCTAGTGTCAGAGGAGGGGTGGACTTGAACCTCTGGAAATGGTTTTAAAGAAGTACAAGCTAAATTGTTGAGAGTAATAGAGTCTTTCATCAGCTGAGGATAAAGAAAAGGGAACAGTTGAGGACTTTACAAATCATAATTGGTAGTTCCTTTAGCCAGTAATGGGAATGCAGAGAAAGAAGCAGGTTTCATTAAGGGAGGCAAGGCTAAGAAAAAGTAATGAGTTCTATTTTGGAGTTGAAAAATGATTGAAGATGTACAGAAGTTAATATTTTACAATTTTGCCATCATAGACATCAACAGTGGTCTGTTGAGGCTTGCAATGATGATTTAAATAGCTTAGGATGTCATTAAAAGAGGTGGTAGTTGAAATTAAAGACTAATAGACAAAATGTTGATGTTACCATAGCTCTTATTTATATAATGTGTAGACATTTATATAAAATAGAATATAGGTTAGGAAACTAATAAAGATAACAGATTAGGAAACTAGGAAGAAGCATGAAATTCTGTAATCTTACCATCATAAAATAAGTGTTAACATTTTGAGGTATTTCCTTACAGATTTTTATCTGCATTTTCTTAGTTTTAGTAAAGATGTAGTAAATGGATATATACAATTTTCTCCCATGTCATTAGTCTTTGTAATTATTATTTTTGTCCTTTCATAATACTTCACAGATTAACTTCAGCACTCACATTACCATAGAGTTTATTCCTTGGGTTGTAGTTGTCATATCACTACTTTAGGTATAATAAAGAATGTCCTGATTATTTGAGGTATCAAGAGAACGGACTAGAGAGTGAAGTAGTTGACAGCTCAGCTTTACAATTTGAGAGCCAGCTCTTACCGTAAATATTTGCTTATCCTCACCCTTTCCCTCTATAAGAGAGAAAGAGGACTACAGTGAGAATCGAGAGATGTTAAGATTAACCACAAGGCAAAAGAGTTATCGTGACCAACTTTTTTCCCCGCAGACAGCATCCAAACTCCTGAATCTACTACAGTATTAAGGGAGAGGTGTGTAGAAAGATGTGTATTTATTTTTTTAATTTGTATCAGTATTTATCTTGAAGAAGAGAGAAAACATGATTAATGTTTTCATTCCTGTAATGAAATACAGGAGAGTGTTTGCTTTCAAAATAGGACTATCATAGATATAAATACTAGTTTGTGAATGTTTTGAAGTAGATTAGAAAAAAATAAGAAAAATGATTTTTATGATGGAAACCATTTTAACAATCAAAAAGTTTTACTTGAGCCCTTAGTATTATTATTGTTTTTTATTATATTTTATTGATTATGCTATTACAGTTGTCCTGATTTTTCCCCCTTTGCGCCACCTCTCCCCAACACCGCCCCAGCACCCCACCCCCCCAACTTCCCCAGGCCGTCCCCACACCATGGTTCATGTCCGTGGGTCATGCATACAAGTTCTTTGGCTACTCTATTTCCTATATCCTATACCGTATTTTATATTCTCATGGCTCTTCTCAAACTACCTATTTGTACTTCTTAATCCCCTCACCTCTTCTCCCATTCTACCACACCTGGCTCCCATATGGCAGCCATCAAAATGCTATCTGTATCCATGATTCTGTCTCTTCTTTGTTTGCTTAGTTTGTTTTTTAGATACAGTTGTTGATAGATTTGTATTTATTGCCATTTTATTGTTCATAGTTTCCATCTTCTTTTTCTTAAATAAATCCCTTTAACATTCCATATGATGATGGTGAACTCGTTTAGTTTTCCCTTGTCTGGAAAGCTCTTTATCTGCCCTTAGATTCTAAATGATAGCTTTGCTGAGTAGAGCAGCCTTGGGTACAGGTCTCTGCTTTTCATGACTGAATATTTCTTGCCAGTCCCTTCTAGCCTGCAGAGTCTCTTTTGAGAAATCAGCTGACAGTCTTATGGGAACCCCCCAATAATAGGTAACTATTTTTCTCTTGTTGCTTTTAAGAGTCTCTCTTTATCTTTAACCTTTGGCATTTTAGTTATGATGTGTCTTGGAGAGGGCCTGTTTGGGACTCTTGTGTTGAGCCCCTAGTATTGAAGGCTTCACAACTACATTTCATCTTTTCTTTAATTACTGTAGGCTCCAGTTATTTTCATGGAGGTTTTTATTTACTGAATATATTTTGAAATTCTTTTACAGTGTGATCATAGTTCTTAGTAGATATGTATAAATACATAGAAACACAGAATATATACTTTAGTTTTCAATAAATAATCAATTATGCTTTTATTAATGCATCATTTTTAACTAAAATTTTTTTTGATATTTTTTAATGAAATATCTGGTGCTTATTTTGATTATTATTACCAAAGTTCCATGTAGAGTTCTTAGGCTAATGTATCAGATCATCAGATTATGTATGCAGAATTATTTTAGGCTATTAGAAGGTCACATATATGTCCATCTATATACTTTACTAATATTCTATGTTTTTTCTCCTTGAGGAGAAAGGAATTTGAATTTATATTCTGTTATAAGTCTCTTCTGCTTTGTAGCTTCTTTAGATATCCAAGTTCAAAGGACATATTACACCAGTAAGAGGCACCAGGGCACTTATGGTACTAAATAGTATCACGAGCACTTTTACAGAGAAATGATTAACTTCTATAGGATATATAATAGTGTATACACCTGATGTATACAGGGCTCATATTTGGTTTTTTTTTTCTGTAATATATTTAACTAAAAATAGTCAAATAAGCTGCCTGTGACAGTTAAGTATATTTTCTAAGACAAGAAGGGCTATAAATATATAAATACAGCTATTCGAATACTTACCAAAACATACTGGTTTCATATTCAAATTGTGTGTAGTTTTCCAGTTTTTGGAATTTAGTTTTATTCCTGTATAGTTCAGAAAATATTTTAGGAAAAGTGAGTTATTGATTCAAAAGAAAATGTATTAGTGTATTTTTCATCACTTTATTCCTGAAAATATTTTAAGTTTTATTGTTTGAGGAATTTCAAGTATTTAACGTGCAGTGATAAGGCAGCTTTGAATCTTACAGAGCTCTACAGCAGCCCCATCTGCGCAACAAGTGAAGACACCACAGACTTCAAATGCCCCTGATCTAAATGATGCAATTGCGAAACTATTCAGTGACTTTGATGTTAAAGAAACCTCCCATCATTTAGTGATTTCTCATCTAGATCTACACATATGTGATGATATTCATGCTAAAGAAAAAGGTAATTAAAGTTGCTTATTTTAAACTATTTTGTTTTTTCTAGAATTTACTATAAAACTGGATTATCATATGTAATATGTAGTATGTACTATAAGATAACTGGCCATAATTTTATCATTCATAAGAGATACATGCATGAAAGGTGCAACGTTAAACAGTATAGATTACAGTACATACATCGAGCTCCATGGAGACAGTGCTGGGGCATGTGCGGGATGGGCGGGCACTGAGTGACTCTGCTTCCTGTGGCAACGTAATTAACATGGGCAAAGGAGCACCTGGGAAGCCGAGAGGCAGAATGCCATCATATGCTTTATTTGTGCAAACTTGACAGTCGGAACACAAGAAAAAGCACCCAGATGCTTCAGGCAGCTTCTCAGAGTTGTCTAAGAAGTGCTCAGAGAAGTGCAAACCATGTCTGCTAAAGAGAAGAAAATTTGAAGACACTGCAAAGGTGGACAAGGCCCATGATGAAAGAGAAAGGAAAACTTACATCTCTCCTGAAAGGGAAATAAAAAAGTTCAAGGATCCCAACATACCCAGAGGCCTCCTTCAGCCTTATTGTTGTTTGGTTCTGAGTATTGCCCCCAAATAAAAGGAGAGCATCCCGGCTTATCCATTGCTGATACTGCAAAGAAGCTGGGAGGGAGGTGGAATCCCACAGAATCATAACTATGAAAATTGTTGTTCTGGAGCAAAAAAGAAATTAAAAAAAATCATGGACACGGACAACAGTGTGGTGATTGCTTTGAGGAGGAGGATGGAGGAAGTAGAGGAAAGCTAAAAACAGAAAATAAAACAAAGAAAATTGTTACTCTGGATTTTTAAAGCTGAAAGAGTGAATACTGAGACTGGTCCTGCTGGATACTTAGTAGTAGAAATTATCTTGCCTTCATCATATAAGGCTACCAGATCAAAAGGTGCAGTATAGAAGGTGAAGAAGATTTGGATTTTGGAGGCTTATTGTCCTTCCTTTGTTCACCTTTATGCCATTTGGCACAGTTCATGATTTGGAAGGAAAATCTAAAAAAATTAAACCACCATAACAAAATGAGGGATCAGGCTTAAGTAATAAGCAAAAGAACAGAGAAAATTGTTTTCTAAGCTGTTTGGCATTCTTCACTTACATATTCCCTCAGAGAATAAGCTGAATGATGTTATTTCAGAGAAAGCCCCTCGACCAAAATATCTTCATCATTGTACAGATCTGCAATTAGTTCTCTGCTTTTGTGAAATACAGAAAGTTCTGAAATGTTCCTTTTTATGTTTGTGAAAAACTTATTTGCTGGAAAAAACTTGTCCTAAACACATTGCTATTAATCATCTGTATTTTACCCACTTAGTGTAAATATTTAAGTTTTACTGTGGAATTACTTGTTTTTTTTTTTTAATTTAGTGCTGCATCAGAATCTGCTGGAGGTGTTATATGATATACTTTGTGTATATATACTTTTACTTTCATAAAATATTTAAAAAATTTTAAATTCTAAAACATTTGGTTCTGGGGGGTTTTTTTGTTTGTTTTTTTAATTGATAAAGGGTAAAAACATTACTCATCTTTATTTTTCCCAATGGTGTGCTGTTGTCCCATCATGATTTAGGAATAACCTTTCTCCGGCTGCACTAGTAAGGGTGCTGGGCTATGAATTAAATACCATGTCCAGGATTTTAAAATGAGTGGTTGTAGATAGATCTGTACTAGAAACTCTGCCAGTTGAGATAAATTAGAGTTAACAAATCAATAAAGAGAATGTGTACGTAGCTGTGACTTAATTTGTATTTGATTTGCCTGTGCTGTTATAAAATTTGATTTTTATGTTGGAGTTACACTGACTTACCAACTTCTGGTCTTAAGATAGCTATGTGATCTTGGACAACTTACCCAGCCTAATAGACTCAATTTCTCTTCAGTAAGAGGCAAGATGACATAATGTAGTGGCAATATTTCTTGGGTTCAAAACCAACTCTACACTTACTGGCTATATGAACTTTGCCTATTTTACTTAACTTCTTTATGTCTTAATTTTTTTATCTAGAAAATGAGCATAATAATAATAGTGTCTATCTCATAGGGTTGTTATGAAGAACAAATGAGTAAGTATACCTAAAGTATTTAAAAACAATGCCTAACATATTGTTACGGCTGTAAATACAAAAGTTGTGCTATTGCATCCTCATTTTTTAGCCTATTACTTTGCAAATGATAGAGGCTTAATACTTATTAAGTTGAATTGCATTTCCGAAAGTCCTTAATGTATTATCTGTGATAACAGAGAGACACTTATTGCTTGGACTGTAGGTATGATAAATTAAGTGTGTCTGATATTTGCTTAATATCCTTTCCTCTTTCTGTCAAATCCATTCTTTTCTTTTCCCAGAGTCCAATAGACGTATTACTGGAGGAGCTATGCAACTGTCTTTTACACAACTAACTATAGATTATTATCCTTATCACAAAGCAGGTATGTCTAACAATTTTTTTAAAAGACATAAATCTTGCTTTCAAATTATATAGCCAATTTATTTCATTTTGTTTTATTTTTATTTTAGTTTGATTTTAAAAGCAAAAAGAGATCAAGACATTTGTTATTTTCTCCCCATAGTGTCTTACCAAGAAAATAAAATTGCCAAAGAAAATACTCATGCATTTTATGCTGAGGTTTATGTAGCTTGTTAGAAAGTATAATTGTGAGATATTGGCAATACTGTAAATAATTTAAAATTTGTTAAAAATGAGAACACAGGGGACACATATTTGTGCTATTAATTGTGACAAATTTATTAATCAGTGTTTGAATTTTTAGGTAATATACTTAGATACTAAAAAAACAACAAAAGAGGGCCATGTGGGGATAGAGCAAAAAAATAGTTTTAAAAAATCAAAAAAATATAAAACAAAAGGATAACAGTGATTTTAGCTAAGATGTAAGAGTCCAGAAACATGTTTTTTAAAAACATTTTTATATTTTCTAAATTTTATCATTAAATAAGATTTAATAGAGTCTTTAATAATAAAATATTGATAAATTCTTTATCCCAAATAATAAAAACAAAAAAGAATGTATGTTTATGGCCAAATTAATTTGACCTTATACCCATCTCTGCATTTTGACGGTATGTGGCTTTTTGTTTTTGATTCATACAAATAACTGTAATGAGTTTTCTGGGTTACATACACCTAAAATATTTTTAACTATAGATCATTCATATTGGGAGGCAAAAGTTTCCATTATAAAGTAGATTTTGTTTTCTTAATCCTTTTACATACATAATAGTTGCCAGAGAAACCTAATATCCCGATATTCACCTTGAGAATTTTTATTTATTCAGTGTTTTAATAATCACTTCACAACAGATGAAAATAGTCTTTGATGAAAAGACTATTTTCTTTGATGGTTGAGTGTTCAGTGAAGGTTCGTTCACTAGTAGTGCTGCTTCTAATTGAAACTTTGAGTGATGTTTTTGCCAGTGGTAGTTTCTAGATAGAAACCCTCCCTGATTATTGCTTTTGACCTTCTTTCCCTCTGTTCTAAATGTTTGCTCATATTTTCTAGGAAGATTAAAATCTGTAGTAAGTTAAGGCTGTAAATTTATTGGAAAATGGGAGAATCTCCTGAGAATATGCATAAATCTCATTAGAAGCATAATAGAATAAATGAAAATTGTGTACTTTTCAGTGAAGTTTGTTGTTACTCATTTTACAGGAGATAGTTGTAATCACTGGATGTATTTCAGTGATGCAACCAAGACAAAAAATGGATGGGCCAACAAATTGTTAGATGAATTTGAAGACAACGTTGAAATGCTTAAACAGGCTATAAAGGATCATAATGTAGGTTCACCTCCTAAATCACCAACACATGCCTCTCCACAGCACGCACAAACAGGTATTTTACGTACAACAACGTTATGACATTTCCCTAATATTAATTTGTGTATGATCATAATAGGATATTTTCTGGAAATAAGTATTAATGTTTAATTAAATGTGTAAAAATTCTGCATCTTTTTCAGACCATATGCATAGAATATTTTAGACTCTTAAATGGCTAGTAGATTTCTCTTTTTAGTAATTATTTCAGCCAGAAGTTATATGGGAGTATCTTAAAAGTTTCCTTGTTTCCTATTAAAATATATATACATTAAATATGTAATATTTAAATGTTTCCTATTTAAAAAATAACCATCATGAAAAAAATCATCATAATAACTTACATTTCTATATCAGTTTATATGTAAAGTGTTTCTATATATATTCTCACATTTGCAAAATCAGAGTTCATCTGTACTTCTAGTAGCTGTCATAATAGTAAAAGAGCAATTGTTAGAAAAAAATTGCAGTAAATTGAAAGGAGTTTCTGTTTCCCACAGAGAAAGATGCAGCTCTGAAATGGACTTCCAGAACACCTCCAGTATTATCTCAACAGTCCAAAGCTAAGTTAATGTCTAGTTCTGTTGTGGTAAGACTTGCAGACTTCAATATATACCAGGTATGTTTTACTTTTTAAGTTAAATTTTCTGATTAATATATTTAGTATCTCCTGCAACTCTTACAACTAATGACACTATTTTATTTAAAAACATCTGACCAGATTTGTGAAATGCCTAAATTAGACAGGATAGAAAATATCAGTTCATTAATTTTTGTGTATATAGTTCCCCAGGTTTAAGCACACTGTAAGATTAAGGTCACAGTGCTTTAGATTGCCAAGTCTGCTCACGACTTCTGATACCAGCTTCAGGTTCAGGAGTTTCCATAAACTGGCCACAGATTCCTGAATTTGCTGGAAAAATTCACAGAACTCGCTGAAATCAGTGATACTCAGAGTCACATTTATTAGAGGGAAGAATACAAATTAGAACTAGCCATAGGAAGAGAACATAGAGAGGAGTCTGGGAGGGTTCTAAATTCAGAACTTCGTTTTCCTCAAAACACATTAGCCTCCTTGCATGCATACGTAACAATATGTATGAAATGTTGCCCACCTAGTTGAATTTAGTCTCTAGGCCTACTGATACCAGGTGACCCAAGGAGTCCACCTTCTAAACACTACTAAGACAATTAAAGTGTGGCCAGTCTCACTCTGAGACATTTTGTGAGCATAAACTATCACTTGCGGCCACAGGGGTCCACCATGAATAGGAAATTCCAGTAGTTTAAAATTACCCCCCCCAGGAGCAGGGACAAAGGCCACACCTCTCTTTGTAGTCAAGATTCCTTATTACACAATTGTTTAAATGGAAGAAGCTAGAATGCATTTTGCTTTACTGAACTACCACCTATTGGCTATACTGTGAACATAATTTTATAGCTAAGAACACTGTGTCCCATTTTACAACTAAAAATCTTATTCAGGCTGTAATCTCACAACATAGTTTAACCTTACAGTTCTTGAGACCCACACTATAGAATATATGACCTATTTTTTAAAAATAAAGGATTTCAGATGTGTTAGTATTTATGAATTGTTCTCATTTATTTTGATAAGCCTGTGATTTTGAGACTTAGTTTTATCTGAAAAGTTTTTATTTTACTCATCGGTTTTTAACTGGGCTGGTTTTGCTCCTCAGGGGACATTGGGGGACTAGTCTGAGGACAGTTTGGGTTGTCACTGTTAGAGGAGGGTAGCTACCAACATTAGTGGGTAGAGACCAATGATTCTGCTAAACACTCTGCAATGTCCTGGTCAGCGTCCACAACAAAGACTTACCTGGCCCAAAATGTCAATAGTGTCAATTTTGAGAAACTCTGGATTAACAGTTATGTTTTTTATTGTGCTATTGCTTCTTTTTTTACATTCTCTATATAATGCATACCATTTAAAGCAGATTTTAAATTATGAGATTTAATAAGTTCAAATGGTAATGAATTGCTTGTAATTTCAAATGGTTGAAGGTGAAATACAGTAAAGAAATCCCACATACACAAATACACCAAAACAAAACAAAAGTAACTGGAAAAAAATAAAATAGTATATTCATTCCAGTTTTAATAACTTTTTATCTATTAAAGGAAAAAGTAAGCTGTTGTCAATTAAAATAACTTGACACTTTGAGTTGGAAAGGATTTCCATGTATGCAGAGAAAAGCTTCTTAATTAGATAATATGAGGAACTAACTTAAATTTATAAAGACTACAAATAATCAAAAGGTTTGATTAGCAATTTACACAAGAGAAAACATAAACCATTGAAAAAGCATTTTTCTTTGTATGAGAACTATACATGTTTGTTGAATGAATGAAAAGAAAGTGACCTTGAGATACATCCCTGGGTCTACTAAGTGAGCATAAATAAATGAAATTGATAAAACTCTGTTGGTTGAACTTTGGGGGAAATCAGTGTATACCTTTTTAATATAATTATAAATTATCAGTTTTAGAGATAACAGGAACTTTAAAACTAATAGCTTCTTTTTGAAAAATAATTTAAACTATATAAGAAGCATTTATAATTGTATTATTTTTATTGTAAAATATGCATAATTTATCATCTTAATCACTTTTAAGTGTACAATACATTGGCATTAAGTATGTTCACATTGTTGTGCAACTCTCACCACTGTTGTTCTTCATGATTTTTTTATCTCAAACTGAAATTCTGTATGTACCTATATTATTTTTCATAATAAAGAAATTTGGATAGAGAATTACCATAAAGTACATAGTGGAGAAGTGTTCTAGTCTTGAGGACTTAGAACTATGCCCAGACCCTGCCATTTACTTATTTGCTTTATCTTACAGAAATATTCTATCTGTTATTTTAAGGCTTGAAATAATAAGTTTGCAAGGAATGTTGTACGGAGTTGATTTTGTAATTGATAAGAATCCAAAGAGATGATTGTTTTCTGAAAGTTAATTAAAAAATAATTTAATGTGCGCCCTGACTGGTGTGGTTCAGTGGATTGGGCGTCCTCTCTTGCAAATCCAAAGATCGTGGGTTTGATTCTTGGTCAGGGCACATGCCTGGGGTTGTGGGCCAGGTCCTGGGGGGAGGGAGGGTGCACAAGAGGCAACTGATGGATGTTTCTCTTGCACATTGATGTTTCTCTCCTTCCCTTCCCCTCTCTCTAAAAATAAATAAATAAAATCTTTTTAAAATGCCTAGTAAAAATAATTTAATGTGCAGTTAAATATATAACAAAGTTTTCAGTGGAAATAAGCGACTAATAAATTATTGGAAGCAATTTTAAAACTTTGAAGTGATGTTCTATTTGCATAAATTCTTTGGAAAGGGCCTTTCTCAGTGTCACTTTAGAAAACTTAATTATTTTTTCAGGTCTCTACAGCAGAACAATGTCGTTCTTCCCCGAAAAGTATGATTTCTTGCAATAAAAAGTCCCTGTATCTTCCACAAGAAATGTCAGCTGTCTATATAGAATTCACAGAATATTATTATCCAGATGGAAAGGATTTTCCAAGTAAGAGGGTTTCCTATTTTGTTATTATTTGTCCCATTGCTTGGGAAGTTGTTTTTTTTCTTGCTAAGTTTTTGACTTACGTGAAAAAGAAACAGAAGTCCATTATTCTTTACTCTTGTCATCATTGTATGTAGTATACAGCTATAGCATAGCATTTTTGTATATAATTTGTTCATGTTCTTTTCCCTCACTAGCTTGTAGCAATACTTAATGTCAGGAATTATGCAGTATTCACACTTAATTTTATCCCTGAGTTTTGACTCATTTTCATACTTAATAGCTATTTGTTTAAGTTAGAATATTTGTAGAATAAGATTTTTTTTCCTTTAGTAAAACTCCATTTATACTTCTGCTATATAAATATAAAACACTGTTATTTCATTGAAAAAGTGAATAAGTTATACCGTTAGCTCCAGAGAATTCTTTGGGCTGGTTTTTAATGACCGTATAATATATTTTGGACAACTTTTGGCACTTTAGTCAGGAACACTGAATTACATGAATATTTATTTGTAAGCTACTTCGGCTGCCTAAAGTTAAAATGACTATATATTTGTGGTCTCTGAATATTAAAATTCTGTGCTACTTGTCTTGGTTTATCAAGGAGTCCTTCAGACTAAAATTTGCCTTTGTTTATGTGGTACCTTTTTCATTATTGTAGTTAAAAATCATACTTGAGGGAAAAAGAGTTTAAATGAAACTGATTATGTTATTGGAAGACAGAAATTTTATGTCCTCTCTTAAAAGTGGAGCTCCAGAATAGTTTGACCTACTTTGCCCATTTGTTTAATATTGACTTAATGTAAGTTCTTAGTTTCAAACGGAATTTCTGATGCTCTTGCCTTTGTTGTTACCTAAAAAGAAGGTACCCTGGGAATTACTTTGGAGAAACAGATATAGAACTATTTTACTGCTTTAATTTTTGTTTATGCCAGACTTTTGTGATCTAATTCTTACCACATTATGCTTTTCAACAGTCTTTTGTGTACTTCTCATTTTTTGTTTCTTCTATCTTCCTGACTAAAATAATGAGAAAATTAAGATAGATTAAGACATTTGCTCAGCACCTTATAAAGAGTAAAATGGCACAGATGAAACTCAAGCATGGGTCTTCGAAGTTCAAATTTATTTCCCCCCAACTGTTTTCCCAGGACATTTACAGCGATTTTCCTGTAATTGGGTAATCCTGTTGGTTCCGGCCCTCTTGCACACCCCCAAAATTATTTTCCTTAAATAATGCATCATTGAACTAGTGATTTTTCTTTAGAGTTAAGACTAGTTTCCAGGATTTCTAACTTCTAATTGATGTTTATTTCTGTCAGTTTTTTAATGCATGCCAAAGGAATTATAATCCTATTCTATAATCTATATATTCTTTTCCTGATAAAAATAAAAAATTTATTCCCAGTAATTTAAATCCTAACCCCCTAGATACCTAGGAGTGTATGTTGTAACTCTTTTTACTTCAACTTTTTATTATGGAAAATTTTCAAGCACACACAAATGTGAAGAGGGTTGTATGTTGAATCCCCATCTATAGACATTCATTTTTAATCCTCCTGTTTCATCTCTGTGTTAAGTGATTCAACTTTAAAAACATAACTTTTAAAATAATTTTAAATGTAATATGTTAATTGTATTATAAAAAAGAAAATGCCAAAAATAAAAAATGCCCGTGAGCCTACAGTTTCGAAACAACTCCTCCTAAAACTTAAGTATATTAGTTTGCTAGCATTGTCATAACAAAGAACCACACACTGAGTGGTTTGAACAACAGAAATTTATTTCTTCACAGTTCAAGAGGCTAGAAGTTCTAAATTAAAATGTGGGCAGAGTTGTTGCCTCAGAGACCTCTCTCATGGGGTTGTAGATGGCAGTCTTCTCACGTGGTCTTTCCTCTGTGTGTGTTTCCTAATCTCTTCTTGTGACGCATATCATATTGGACCAGGGCCCACCCATAGGAACTCATTTTTGCCATAATTGCCTCTTTAAAAGCCCTGTCACCATATACAGTCACATTCTGAGGTACTGGAGATTAGAACTTCAACATACCAATTTTCAAGGGACATAGTTCAGATCATAACAATTGGTAGAGTGTTGTTAGTTTTGTTTTTTAATGTATGTTTCTTTTATATATTTGATTTACATCCTGTTTTTTTCCTTAATGATAAGAGCATATTTTTGTTTTCTACAAGTTCATTTTAAATATCTTTAATAGCCACATAATAATCTATTTCATAAGTAGACCCCTATTAGAAACTGCAGATTGATCTTTCTACTAGTGTTCAGTGTACTAGGTTTCTTCCTCTCTCCAAAATCTGCAGTCAGGGTCTTCTTTACTTTTGTGTTCCAGCCCTGGGGACTGCATTTGCTGCCCAGCCCCATCATCATCTGCCATCATCACTTATTCTATACTTGAGATGCTCTCCCCTTTCTTCCTTCCATAGTGAGACGTGATCTCTTCAGCATCCTACTTCCTTGCTGTTTCCAAAAACAAGCATCTCTACATCCCAGCTGAATGTCTCTGTTGGACTTGAGTTATAGTTTTTCTGCTTTCATGTCTGTCTTGTGTGATAGTCTATGAAATTTTTTAAGGGAAGAAACCATGCCCTATTTTTAAAAATTCTTTGTGCTTACCACAACACACAAAATATAGTTGCCATTCAGTGAATCTTTGCTGAAAGTAAGTAAATGAGAGTGAGAAAAGATAGAAAGAAAGAAGAGGAAGGAGGAAGGAGAAAAAAGAAAAAAGAAAGAAATCCTATCTATTCAGGACATTGTTATAATGCTATATCTACTGGTATCCTATCCGTTGGGCTTATTTTTCTTAAATTAATAAAGTTTAAAAGTTCTAGATATGCATACTCTTTGCTTTGGTAGAAGTAAATAGGAATGAATTTTTGGGATAAAATGTCTTCATCAAGATGATCTGAAAATGATACTGGCTTTTATGATATGAATATGTGTGGCTTTCAGGAAGTGATATATACTCTAATTATAAATATTAGTCTAACATTTATTAACACTAAAACATTTATCTAACCCCTAGGCATTCTAATATTTTGGAGGAGCTATGAAAATGAGTGTATTCATTTGATTACTTAAGAGATAGTTGAGTTTTTACTTTGCACCAAGCACTATTCTAAGTTTAAGATTAAGGGGAGAGTAAAACTATACATGGTCCCCCCCTCAGAGAGATTTCCCTGGTTTACCACTTCTCTCAGCTGTGGAGGATTCAGATTAAGATTCAAGTAGTAAAAGTCCTTACAGAAATAAGGGATTAAGGATCACAACTTATGTAATAATTCATTAAAAGGTAAGGTTTTTTGAAGTTAGCTTATTGGTGACTGTAACATTAGGAAAAGAAATCTAAACAGTATTTCCCATTTATACAGTTAGTTTTAGGTTAAACTGTATATTCTTCAGTTAGTGAAACAAAAAATAATTTTTGTCTATCTAAACATGTTTGCTACCATCTATGTGTGTCACTTTAATTTTGTAAATAACATCTGAAAAACTTTTTACCTTAATTAAAAAGAATACAATGTGTTAAAAATGCCTTTTCTGTTCTCAGGGAAGATTTAGAACTATCTGTTTATTAAAAATCTTTTAAAAATTTTTTTCTCCACAGTTCCATCTCCCAACCTTTATAGCCAGCTGAATGCACTACAGTTTACTGTGGATGAAAGAAGTATTCTATGGTTAAATCAATTTCTATTGGATTTAAAACAGAGCCTTAATCAATTTATGGCTGTATACAAGTTGAATGACAATTCAAAATCTGATGAGCATGTTGATATTCGAGTTGATGGCTTAATGCTAAAGGTACCATATAAACAGGTGGCTACAAGAACAAAACCATTTTTACAGAAGAAAAGCTAACACCATTATAATTCCCAGGATTTAAGAGGGGCATTCAAATATAACTCAGCTTCATTGCATCTTAATTTTGATTTTGAAATTTCAGTTTTAATTTTCAATTATAGAAGCTTTAAGAGACTTTTTTTCCCTTGCTTCTTTCTCTGCCTTTCTTTTATTTTTTTTTCATTGCTCATCCATTTGGAGGTAAGCAGTAGAAGTAAAATTTAGATCAGTCAGTTTGTTCCTACTTCTTACCAGAGCTGATAAAAATTTTCTTTTAAAGAGGGTAAATACAATGAAGCTTTCAAGTTAAATCTGGGTCTTATGTATTCACATTTATTCTATTATTAATATCCAAAGATAATAGAAAGTTGCTCAATATTATAACCAGGTGATTATTAATCTGAATTCCATGGATATTTAAACTTTGAAGGAAGGAAATTTAAAAAAAATAGTTTAGTGTAGAATAAGACTTGGATATGGATGAAAATTTCAGTGTTGCTGGTACACCAAATTTATATACCTTTAATTTCTTTTCTGTAAGTTGAGGTTAATAATTAACAGCCTCATTATAGAAATGTTTTAAAAATCTTATTATCAATATAGAGACATATTTTATAACATTTATTCTTATAATTTAAGATACAATTATATAATGATCTTTACATTTTCCAAATGTGGCCAGTTTTAAAACCAGTCACTTTTAACTCTTTGATGTGAATATTTTAAGGGCTGGGCTTAATTATCTCTGGAAAATTATTTTAGTAAAAATTAGGCATGTACATTTAAGTTTATATTCTTAATAGTTTTCTCCCAAAGAAGTGATTCTTATGGCATCTATTGAGTCATTCAATTTATTCATCTATTCACCCTCCAAATTGCTTGAAACAAAAATATCCTAATAAAAAACTTTCTCTTTTAAACTTGACACCTTTTATATGCTCGTGGCAGAATAAGCATTTAGTAATATCAGTTTAATTTAATTTTGTTCTTTTTATTTTGCAATATGTTGTATGCAAATATATTTGTATGCTATATACATTTTCCATCATTTGTTTGGTTTTTAACCTTTTCTTGGTGGTAAATTATTTAAGTCCTTTATACTCGGTTTAATAAAAACATTTGGAGGGGAGAAAGTTAGTATTTTATATCTGGTTAGGAAAGTATCATTTTGAGTGGGAATGTGAAAAGCTTTTTTTTTTGTATTTTATCTTCAAGATATATGGATATGTAAGTTAGACTAGATTAATATTTTTTTCTCTTCTAGTTTGTTATTCCTTCTGAAATGAAATCTGAATGTCATCAGGATCAACCACACGCAATTTCTATTCAGAGTTCTGAAATGATTGCCACAAATACAAGGCACTGTCCAAACTGTCGACATTCTGATCTAGAAGCCTTGTTTCAAGACTTTAAAGATTGTGACTTTTTCAGTAAAACATATACCAGCTTTCCCAAATCTGGTGACAATTTTAATCTTCTGCATCCAATCTTCCAAAGACATGCTCATGAACAAGATACCAAAATACATGAAGTTTACAAAGGAAATATTACTCCCAGGTTGAATAAACACACTCTTAAAACTTCTGCTGCCACAGATGTTTGGGCTGTGTACTTTTCTCAATTTTGGATAGATTATGAAGGGATGAAAAGTGGAAAAGGGCGGCCAATAAATTTTGTAGACTCTTTCCCTCTTTCCATCTGGATTTGTCAACCAACAAGGTATGCACTGTCTCAAAAAGAGCTGCAGACTTGTAATCAAGTATCTCTAAATACATCACAAAGTGAATCTAGTGATCTGACTGGCCGATTGAAGCGGAAGAAGCTCTTGAAGGAGTATTACAGTACGGAGTCTGACCCCTTGACAAATGGTAGTCAGAAATCTTCAGATACATTTTTAAGATTTTCCTCTTCCTCATCAGATGCAGATATTCATGTCCTGGTTCATGTTCATAAGCACATCAGTATGCAGATCAATCACTACCAGTATCTTTTCCTGCTTTTCCTCCATGAGTCACTTATTCTGCTCTCAGAGAACTTAAAGAGCGATGTCGAAGCTGTGACTGGCAGTCCTGCTAGTCAAACATCCGTTTGCATTGGGATTTTACTTAAAAGTGCAGAAGTGGCTCTTTTACTACACCCAGTGGATCAAGCAAACACTCTCAAGTCTCCTGTGTCTGAAAGTGTGATCCCAGTGGTTTCTGATCATTTGCCTGCAGAAAATGGAGAAGTCTTGTCTTCAAGAAAGAAACAAGTTAGTAGTGGTATAAATCAAACTAGAAGTGTAACTGTTCATCATAAGTCAGACAACAGATCTATGAGTGTTGACTTTAGCCATGTCCCTTTGAAGGATCCTTTGCTTTTTAAATCAGCTAGTGATACAAATCTGCAAAAAGGTATTTCTTTTCTGGATTATTTATCAGATAAAAATTTAGAGAAAATAAGTGAAGATGAAAGTAGTGGAATTCTTTGCAGAAGTGGCTCAGGGGAAATTGGATTAGAAACAGGCGACAAAAAGGATTTATCTTACAGAAAATCAAATAGTGTCTTAAACTACAGAGAAGATTCAAGTATGCTGTCATTTGATAATGATGGTAATCAAAACATGCTTTCAAATAGTTTAACTAGTAAAGGAAATGAAGCCATAGAACCTATTTTTAAAGCTGAAGATTTGCTTCCAGAAACAGCTTCACTCTCTGAGAACCTGGAAATTGGTAAAGAAGAAGCACCCACAGTTAGAACACTTAAATCGCAGTCATCTTTAAGGTAACAATGCACTATTGGAATGGCGGGGAGGTGGTTTGGGGGTGCACGTGTGTGTGTGTGAGCATATTTTGTTTTTAGACCAAAAACCTCTTGGCAAAATATGACATTGTCAGAGTTAACACATGGAAGAGTAGGTTTTTCACAATACGAAAATACTTTGAGCTTATAAAATAGAATTTGAAAACTTATGGATACTATATACATATTTTTATTTTGTTAGGAATAATTTTAGAATTTTTAATATTATATATGTGGTGTTTTTCTTATAGTTTTATTTGTTAACAGTGGGAAACCTAAGAAACGGTGCTCACCAAACCTGGTTCCACCCTGTATTTCTTATAGGAACATGAAAAGAAGCTCCTCACAAACCTCACTGGATGCCATTTCACTTGACAGCATGATATTGGAAGAACAGTTGTTAGAAAATGATGGAAATGATAGTCATATATTTCTGGAAAAAGGTAAAGCAGTACAGTAAAGAATTTATTTTACATATACATACTACAAGCACACGTATCTTAGAAGTGATGTTTAAGTATTTTTAGGTATATTCAATAATTAATTATATTCCCCAAAACACATTTTATTTATACACACATACACACACCGTACACAAAGACTATTGTATCTAATTTTCTAATAGTTGTTCCAGTGCTGCTTTTAACCAGTTCCTTTGTCTCCCTGCACCGCTCTCCCCACCCCACCCCCGCCCCCGCTTTCTCTTCTCCCTCTCTTTTGTAGCTGACTCTAACACTTACTTTGATTGTAGGTAGATCATAAAACAGACAGCATTAAAGTTACTAGCTCTCTTACAGGGCCTTCTACATCTGGAATTTTGATTAGGTGACCTTACTTAGCATTATGGATTCTCAATTATGTGGTCCTAGGACTGGAGTCCAGACTGGATCTTATTTCCGTATTAGGATTCTCTCACATACATGATTATATATGATGGGACTTCACAATTGCCCTTTTTTAAAAAGTTTTTTAATTTATTGATTGAGAGAGAGAAAGAAATATTGATTTTGTTGTTCCACTTATTTATGCATTTATTTGTTTAATCTTGTATGTGTCCTAACTGAGGATTAAACCCACAACCTTGCTGTATCAGGACAGCGCTCTATTTGGCCTGGTTCAAAGGCTACTAATGCCCCAGTAAAGACCACTAGGAATGACTTAGAATTACATGCATACCAACCACTAAGGCATTGGGGACTTTGTGAACAGAAATAAAAGCATGGGCCATAAGCAGAAAGTAGTTGTCCCATACACTGAAGCATAAAGGATGAGAGACATACAAATTTCTTTGTACATATAGAGTAATAACCCTATTAGATGTAGTTGAAGACATCTTAGGTAAGGAAAGACTCACAGCATCAGAAAATAAAGCTTAGAGAAATTAGAATGCAGTCAAGAAGCAATAGAGGTAGCTTTGGAACTCAACTAGTCTGATTCAAGAGCCTAAGCATTTAACCAACCAGTGTGCTAGACTAGCTCTGGACATGGGAAATGGTTACCATACCAAAAAGCCCTGATCTAACCCTGATATAGGCAATTTACAGTGATATCCTTTTCAGCATACTCTACCAATTAAATGGAGAACAGGTACTAATATGGGTCATAAAAATCTATCTTAGATTCACAGAGCTCTATTGCTCGTTCCTCTGCCCCCTTAATGGTTTTAAACTCTGCCTTGGCAGAGGATTTATGTTGTGTGATCAAAATATATTTTAAAAAGTGTCCTTTTAGGACTCATGGACAAAACCAAAGGGGAAGAGCTGAGGGAGGGAAGGAGGGAGGGGGCAAGTGAAAGTGGTGGGGGGTAGGCCGAGACAAATGTATTTGAAAAAATAAATTAAAATTTAAAAAAAAGATATATTCTTAGAAACTTATATTTCAGAATAAATCAGAAGATGCAACATTTTTGCAAGTTTATCAGAGTAGAACTGTCTTTAAATGACAAAAAAAAACATTTAAAATGACATGGTCATAGATTAGATTACAATGCGATTGACTAAGGAATTTGCTTTTTTTTTTTTTTTTTTTTTTTTGCAAAATTTGAAAATAACACTGAAAACTACAAATGAAAGTGTATCAGACTAAGGAATTAATTACTCTGTTCCCAACTGTCCATTTTACCTGTGGTTTCTTTTGGGAAATAACAATTGTTTTTGGAAAACCAAAGGAAGCTTCTGGCTTTTTGGTCATTAAAATTATTCTGCTTTAAAAAACAAAAAACAAAAATTAAAAAAAAAGTGTCCTTTTAGAAAATAGCCCTACATAGTCTCAGAAAGCATCACTGATTTTCTTGTTGTTATTTCTGAATATTAAATCATAAAAGTAACTGTCACTCAATTTGGAAAATAAAGACAACTGCAATTTGAAAAATAAAATAACTCCAAAGTTTACAATCTAGTGATATTACCTATCATTTATTCTGTAAATTTTTATATGTATTTACATATATGTGTATTTGGTGGTGTATTACATACATGATTTTTAACCTACTTTTTATCACACATAGATTATATAAATAATATAATCTAATATTATTTAATGAAATGACCTTTAATCATTTCCCTGATAGTGGATGTTTAGATTGTTTATAGTTTTCACAGTTATAAAAATGCTATAATTATTATCATTCATAAAGTTTGCTTGTATTTCTAATTACAATCTTAAAATAGATTCCAGCAGTAGACTATTTTTAGGATCTTAAACAAATCAAGGCATTATTCCCCTGTCACATATAAATATGTGACTATATAGCCCTAATTCTCCTGAACTGTAATAATTTTCTTTATGTCACAGGAATTGGTTTTCATTAGGAACACCCTTGTGTTTTTTTTATTTTCTTTGTTTTAATTTTATAAGAAATATACAATTATGTTCTCAGTTTAAAAAATTATCAGATATTATGGAAATTCGAGAGTCAAAAAGGAAGGTGTCACTTTAAACCACCCTTACTCTGCCCCTTGATACCTTTTCCCCACTCCAGAAATAACACCCATCTGAACTTTGGTATATACTGTATACTTTCAGACATTTTTCTGTGTTTTTCTATATATATGTGTATGTATATGTTTATACATATATACTCTAACAGGCATGTATACAAACAGATACACATGTGTAGGTATGTTTGTACACACATTTTTGAGTATATATACATCTTTATATACAGAGAAACAAACACATAGCTGGACTACGACCCCACCATGGGCTCCTATCTAGTCTCCTCACTTATATTGTTGTCAATTTTCAGTTCATTCTTCATAGGAATACTCATTTTAAAAATGTCAATACTATCATGTTGATTTCCATTTTAACCCTGATAACTTCTCACTGCTATGGGGCTAATAAGTTGAAAAACCTTAACGTTACTGACAGTGCTCTGTGTGATACGGCCCCTGCTTCACATTTCTGCTGTTTTCCTACATGCTTACTACACTTTAAATTTACGTTAGTATATTTCAGTCCTTTTCTCAGTTTCTTCACAGTGACAATTTCTTTTCCACCTCAGGGTCTTTGTACCTGTGCATAGAATGCTATTTTGTTTTTGTTTACTTTAACTTAAATATTACTTTATCAGGGAAGCCTCTTTAACCCCTAACTGTGGTAGGAACTCCCTGTAAAATGGAAGTTTATTATCTCTTCATGCCACAATTGTATTTTTATACATCTTCCCTGGCACTAAAAATAATTTTATTCATTCTTTCAGTGAATAATTTATTGAGCACCTACTATGTTGCCAGGCACTGGGTTAGAAGCTGATTGTATAATAGTAAATAGTAAATATAATAATGAAACCATTGAGGCCATGTTTTTGTATGTCTTTGGTTTTTCTAATCTAATTTCTAGTAATTTATTTTTACAGTATTTTTAAAAAGTACTGATCTGTGACAGACATTTTTTAAAAAATTATGTTTTACCGCAGAGAATTTGAGAAATACTGAAATATAACACACTGAGAAAGGAAGGCAGGCAGATAAGGATGGAGGATGATTACATTGATGATAGTGGCATCAACTTCATGTACAAGATAATTAGAAGTTACTTTAGGATACTGAAAAGAAAAATTAAGTGGTAAAACTGGAGCTATTCAATGTAGGACAAAGTGAAGCAGGCCGGGCTGGCTGACCACGACCCTGCTAGTTCCACAAGCACCGTGCCTGCCTGGAGACCACACGCTGTGGTCACCCTGGTAGATTTCTTGTTGCACTAAGTTTAGGTCTTAAGTATCTCTAACATTTTACTGTGAAAAGTAATTTCTTATTACAGTGTTTGTTAACTAATCATAACTTATTTTTATTTATTGTCTTTAAAACAAGGCTGTGCTTAGGAAAGAGTTAAAGCAGTAGCCCATCTTGGTTAGATAAATATAACATTTTTGCATCATTTGTAAAATTGATTTAAATTTATTAGTTTATTTTGTATTATTTCAGGTATTAAAAAGGATTCGAGCACAAATTATCAGAGCCCCGCAGATAGTGCAAATGCCAGTGCAAATCTACAAAATTATGGTGAAACTTCTCCAGATGCCATCAGTACAAATTCAGAGGGTGCTCAAGAAAATCATAATGATCTGGTAATCATTTCAGTGTGTGAAGAGAAATGCTGCCAGCTTTATTTCATATTTAATATGTTCACATTTTAATACATTGATGTATAAAATGACTTGACTTAGATTGTCGGTGATTTACTTTGTTCTTTTTTGAAAATTCTCCCCTCTTACTGAATTGTTTTCGTCTGATTTTGCTTTTAAAAAATTTTGTTTTTGTATCAAGGGGAAGTTCTATCTTTATCTCTCATTTTTCAATATTTAGTTTCCATTTAAATATGGAAAAACTTTGATAGTAAGGATGGTAGTCAGCTTCTTTGAGGAGCTTTCTACAAAAGAAATATGTTATTGGTTTATTTAAGCCCTCTTCATCCAGTGAAGTATTCTATGGATGACCTAGAAAATATGTTCAGCTTTTAATGGAAATAATTTTACACCAAAATGTCGTGTAATTAGTGTTTGTGGTAAAAAAAATTCCTCTCTTGACTGAGTAAAAGAAAGGGAGTTGAAGTTTATGACTATACTGTAATAACCACTTTCATTTGATCACAAGTATATATTTGGTTAATTAGGCCACAGGTGTATTTTTAGAGGTTATAGTATTAGTTTCTTGTGTTATTTTTTAACTTTTGTTTTAATTACTTGGTATACTAATATTATTTATGCAATCATTGTTAGATGTCAGTCGTGATGTTTAAAATTACTGGTGTTAATGGGGAAATTGACATACGAGGGGAAGATACAGAAATCTGTCTTCAAGTGGACCAAGTAACACCGGCTCAGTTAGGCAATATCAGTCTTCGGAATTACCTTTGTAATCGTCCAGTAGGTGAGACTTTAATATGACTTAAACTTTTGCTTCTTTATACATATGATTTATCAGTGTATAAGTGAATTCAAGCAGCATTACATTTACACCAGAGATTTATTCTCTTAGATTACCTTATTTTTATAATGTTGATTCAGTTATTAGAAATATAATCTGTTGAAGGTGTATTCTCTAATATTTTTTTGTTTCTGCTATTGATAAATTATTATATTTTTTCAGTTGTTCTGCTTTTTGAGATAACAGGTTTGAGAAAACCGAGGTCTTTCTATATGAAAAGAGTGATGAGTAATTCTACAAGGTCAAATTTAGTTCCATACTAGAATGCCAATTTCTACATTCCATTGTTTTGATTATAAGCAAATATTTCCAAATACTTGGTGTTTGGAAAAATCATATATCTTGTTCTTACAGTTTTTTGTTCTAAAATAAACACCTTCAAACATGCAGTATATGAAAAGGAACCACATTAAACCATCCCTTTTTCAAAGTTTAAATAAAGTGTTTAGTCATTTGAAGAAATGAACTTCTTAGAATAGTTATACTAAGAATTTAAAATGTTTAGTTTTAAAAATTTTTAAAAAGTCACTGTGCTGTGATACTTTTCTGTGCTATATGCACAGAATGCTATATCTCATATATAACATGTTGAAATACATGCAGTCCTACATGATATCAAAATGTGTGCTATTCACGTCTGAAAATTGCAGGCAGATGTGCTGTTTCCCTATAAATCAACATCATGGAAAGAAAATTGGCTCCTGGCTTTTTCTGTGTGTAGGCTTTGCCATTTACATCGCATCTGCTAAATCAATCAATCAATCAATTAATTAATTCAAGAATTCTATATTGGGAAGCATAAACCCCAATAGCATGCAAAAAGGAAAAAGCTAAGTATATAGTTGGAAAGGTTTCATAGTGGACAAAAACCAAAAAACGAACATAGTTGTTCGTTTTGAACATAGACTTTCAAAACTAGACTGTTGTTCTATACCCAACCCTACCTCTTTTCAAATTGTACAGTTTTAGATTATTTCCAGGTACACAATCATTTTTTTTCACTCTTCTTTATAGCTCACTTAGTACCATACTCTCTCACTTTTTTTCATATTCTTCCTAACTGAGGAAGTTATTTTGAAATGCCTTGTACGTATGGGTTATATAGTCAGTGCTATCTAATAGCTTATTTTTCCCAACTGTCTTGGTTGTTAGAAGGATAAAAAACAAACAGGAAGGGAGGGAGGGAGGGAGGGAAAAGAAAGGGAAAAGAGGATAAATGGAAAAAGAAAAAAAGTTTAGCTTTAACATTTCAAACATTAATAAACATATGAACAAAGATTGTATTTGATTGCTTTTGTTTGCTTTTTTTCCCCTATAATGTGTGGATTTTGGATTCCATTAATAGGAAGACCTTAATATAATAGGTTTATGGCATAAGAGAGAGTAGGGAGGAGTGGTTTTTGACTAATGAAGATTTTGTTTTATTTCTACTCCAAATGAGTACTCCTTTTGTTTGAAGTTATTTCTGGTTCTCAGCTCCCTGGAGTATGTATCTGGTGTATGTGTGTATAGATATGGTTATATAGATACATAGATTGGTAAAATACACTATAGAATAACATTTACCAAATTGTTTCTAATTGCTCTTTTTTTAAAAAATAGGTTAATTAACTCTTGTTCTTCTTGATATAGGAAAAAAACACTAACATCTAAATGTATATTCACATCTATGCTGAGGAAAAATAAACATTTTCTATTTTGAATTTAATCAGTGGGGTCTTCTTATGAGGACTCACAGGGCAGATAACTTTGATTCTTCAATAACTGAAACTGCTTTGCCTTTCTAGAACAATTAGTTTGCCTTAACCCATGGATTTTATGAATTGTGAAATGGATCATATTTTTCTCTGTGTTGCTAGAAAGCTCATTTTTGGTCCACCTTTGGTACAGAAATTTAAATAGTATATTTTGAGTTATTAACCTCTTACCTAGTTTTTCCTTTTCCCTTTTATCCTTATTTTTCTACTGCTTACTTATTTTTTTTTTAATCTGATTATGGCATGTATCTGTTGCCTCCTGTTCTTTTGGGAAGTAGGTAAAATAAAATAAACAAAATAGTTATTACCGTAAGGCCAATTTAGTTCAGTGGCTCCACTAGAAACTTTTCTTTTTTAAAATTATATATTCTGTGGGTGCTTTATTGAAATTTCAAAATTTATTTTTGAACTGGGGTATTTATATCTCTGTAAGCTATCCGAAATTCTTTTTTTGGAACAAGGCCAAGGCATAAATAATGTCAATATTTAATACTCACTTTTAATAAGGAAGGTGCAAAACTTCCGTCTTTTGTTATTTCTTGAGAAATGGCTTAGGAGTCACTTTAAATGCCATGACTGTTTCTTCATGACAGTTATCCATAATGTTACAAATGTACAGGTAGGTGCATAACCAGACACACTCTTAAGTATCTGAGGTGTGCATGATGTCAGATTTATATTTCATGTTACCAAAAAACAGAGCTGAGGCAATATTACTGTAATAGAAGATTGTTTATAAATATTGAAATTAATATGCTGTATATAGTATGTTGTAGATGTACTATAACTGTCACTTAAGTCACAGATAAATATTAAAACTTTATTATTGCTTTACCAATGTACAAAGTGGCAATAACCTCCAATGACAAATATTCGAGAGTGACATTTTTGAGTAGTATCACAGTTATAATTTTTATTTGTTCTTTTTCTGTAGGTTCTGATCATAAAACGGTTACTCATTCTAAATCTTCTCCTGAGATTGCTCTGAGGTTTGAAAGTGGGCCCAGTGCTGTAGTACACTCGTTGCTTGCAGAAAAAAATGGATTTCTACAATGCCATATAGAAAACTTTAGTACTGAGTTCCTTACATCTTCTCTTATGAATATTCAACATTTTTTGGAAGATGAAACTGTTGCAACAGTAATGCCAATGAAGATACAAGTTTCTAACACAAAAATAAATTTAAAAGTATGTTAATATCTTCAAATTATAAATGTTCACTTTACCTACCTGAACTTTGATTCATATCTAAGAATATGCTGTCTCTGTAATATATACTTCTCCAGCATTTATAGCAATGAATAGTCTTTGGTGTCGAATGATGTAAAGATCCTTAGGTGCTGGTTTTTGTGATGAATGATGTAAACATCCTTCTTAGAAATTAAAAAAAATATCAAAATGGAATGGGCAGTTTTCTCTCTATATTAACTAACGCATGTAAAAATGCATTTCTAACTCATTAAAATATTGACTGAGTAATATTTTTTAAGAAAATAATTACATTAGTTTAATCACTTACTTGAATAGCAACATGCTGATACTGTTTCCCTTCCCTGTAGGATGACAGTCCTCGCAGTAGCACAGTGTCCCTTGAACCAGCCCCTGTAACCATTCACATCGATAATCTTGTGGTGGAGAGAAATGACGATGGCTCTTTTCACATCAGAGGTATAGATGGAAAACAATTTAAGTGAATACTTACTAAGATTTGAAATTAAATTATTTACATGCTGATTGTTTTCACGCACACTTAACGCTATAGTTATGCACATATGTAGAAATAGATGGTTGAGGGAAACTTTCAGTGTGTTGTAATAAAATATTACCTATGTATGGATCCCTACCTATAGAAATAACTCATCTACAGTTTACAGGTGTTTGCTTTTGAGAATTCAGAGGAGCTTTTGGTAAATGCTTTGAATGGCCCAAATTTCTCAAGTAGCTTTTTAAGAAATTTCCAGATACGCTGTTTTTTTTCCCTTCCTTGAAGCAAATTTATTTAGCAAGCAGGAGCATTCAAAATCATCTCATTATTAGCTATTTCAAAAATTAGTTGTAGGTGTTTGTTGCTGTGATAACGGCAGTTTGCCAAATACTTTTCTTCACTCCTTTCCCCCCCCCATGTATTCTAATGTATACTTGCAGCTGTTCTGGATGTGATTAAAGTTCATCATGAAGGAATAGATGCTTTTATACTTTTTTTGCTGCTAATACTACTTCACATTTCTTGGGAAAGTCTTAAAAACAACGATCAACTTTTCAGTAAAGTCTTTAAAGAGAGACTTCAAATAATTTTTCAGAAAATTTGAAAGGTATACTATCACTAAAAGAAAAAGACAGAAAATGTTTGTTCTATGTGTGTATATATACAGTGTGTGTGTATATGCTATGTCATTTATCATTAATTACTTTTAATAGTAGTATACTGGCTCTCAACATTTTTTTCTCCCCAACGCCCGTAGGACCTAGCATATTCCCATCCAGAACAGTGGCTGTTAGGACATCAATTCTCAACCAAAAGGGTTGTGAGGGAGGGACTACCTCCCAATAGATTATATCAGAATGTATATTTGAAGGCCTGTAATGAGCAACTCTTTGCCGTATACACCCTTAAAATTATTGCTATATGCTTCCTAACTAGGAATATGGGAAGATTTATTTGATTACTAAACCTAAAGAAAGGTAACACCTAATTTCAGAAGACTGTCCTTATGATATGAAAAGAAAAACGAATAGAAATCTTCTATTTGAAAAAACAGAGAACTGTTGAAATATAAAGCCAAATATTTATTGAGCACCTATTGTGGTAATAATAACAATTCATATTTGAATAGTGCTTCCCAGTTTATAAAGTACTTTTACATTAAATGTAAACTCTTACCATAACCCTTTGTGATAATTAAGGCAAGTATTTATTCTTATCACCTCCATTTTGCAAATTACCATAAGAAATTGAAGTCTATCGAAGTTGGGTGACTTGTTCAAGATGAAAGAGCTAGAAAGTAAGTGGCAGATCCTGCACTAGGGAAAAGCGTATGTTGCTCTAAGACACTGCACATTTCATCCTTAAGGAGCATGGATTTGCTCATCAAAATTTGTCCTAAAAACTTGAAAGAAGAAGCTCTTTTAAAGCAAATGTAAGGAAATATGTCTTTCTATAGCAATAGATTCCAATCACCCGTGTCATTCACAGGTTCTCTTCCTTCCCATTCCTTTCCAGTTCTGCCCCCACCACCCCTGTCTTTTTACCTTCTCCACCTCCCTGCCTCTTTCTCCCCATTCCCTCCCTTCTTACCTCTTCCTTTTCCCTTCCTACATCTTTCTGCCTTCTTCTCCTTCTCTCTCACTCTACCTCTTCTTACTTACATGGCCCTCTCACTTTCTTCCATCCTCCCTCCTCTTTCTCCTTTACTCTCCAAATCTCTCCTTCTTTTCCATACTTTTTCCTCTTCCCTTCTCTCTCTCTCTGTTTTCTCTCCTTATTCTACCCCCCAGTGATTGATACAAAATGGTGTTTAGAGTTGTTTAATCATTTTTTTTTCATTATTCTTAGAATCCCATGAGTAGTAAGATGTAGGCTAAATAGAATGGGTCCTGAGTCTTCTATTGTCCTTAACTACAGCAAGGTAACTCAGCTTTTATTTTTAGTTCATCTTAGCATTTTAAGTCATATTTCACTTTTAAAAAAGAGGTCTGCTTCTTTAAAAGTTTGAAAACCAATGACTAATCAAGTAGTATTTTAGGGGTGCTATTAGTGTTTTGAGGTTGTTCCCTCTGGGGAATCTTTTTAAGGGGAGAGGGGAATTATGTTGAGCAGATATTACTCTTTCATTTATGCAATCTAATTTGACTTAGTGTACTGTCGTTCGCTCATTCCATGTGATTTTGCTGGACCTGGCAGTCATATGACACTCTGTTACAGACATGAGAATAAAACCTAGGCCAATCAAGAATTTGGCCCTTGAGACATGGTGACTAGTAAATAATTTGATTGTGACCCAAGCATTCTAAGCCTGTTTTGTGATAAGGATAGTAAGGGAGAGGGGTCACAGACTGTGAAACTTACTTGTTTGAGTCACAGGTGGCTGCCTTTGCTATCATCTGACTAAACCAACACAGAGAAAAATAAAAGTGGACCTAAGAAGTAAAGTCAGGTTCCTAAAGTGATACTCCTGAGGACATATGAATCCTCGTATCCAGCAATGCCTGAAGCATCTCACTTGGATTTCCCTGTTGCAGAAACAAATTTCCTTTATGAAAAGCAAGTTTGAGATGGGCTTCTATTTACTTGCAACCTAAAGTGCTCTGTGATCCGAAAAGTAAGAAAAAAGGTTGATGTATAAAGATATTCCCTGCCTTGTTTTTTGTAATTGATTTTAATAATTTTTGAGATATAATTCAAATGTCATACCATTCACACAAAGCATACAATTTAAGGATATTTAGTATGCTCACAAATGGTGCCACCATCACCACAGTCAGTTGTGGAACATTTCCATCACCCTCAAAAATACCTATACCTATTAGCAGTCTCTTCCTATTCCTTCCCCAGCCCTGGGCAACCACTGATTTGCTCTCTATGGATTTGCCTATTCTAGACACTTCATATAAATGGCATTACAGAATATATGGTATTTTGTGACTAGTTTCTTTCATTTAGCATAGTTTAAAAATTCATTTATGTTGCATTTATTAGTATTTTATTTTCTTGCATGGCTAAGTAATAATTTCATTTTATGGACACTACATTTTGTTTATTCATAACTTGATGGGCATTTGGATTTTCTGGTTTTTGACTTACGAATTATGCAGCTATAAACATTTGTGAATATATTTTCATTTCTCTTGGGTGTATGTTTAATAATGAAATTATTGGGACATATGGTAACTCTTATTTAACCATTTGAGGAAATGCCAGACTGGTTTTGAAAGTGGCTGCACTAGTCTACCTGTTTACCACTCAAGTGTATTAAAGGTTCCAACTTCTCCACATCTTTGTCAACACTTGCTTTCATCTGACTTTTTGATTATAGGCATCCTAATGGGTATGAAGTGATAATATCATTATGGTTTTGATCTACACTCTTCTAGTGGCTAATTATGTCAAGCTTTTTTTTTCATATCTTTATTTGCTTATTTGTATATCTTTGAAAAAATGTCCATATTCTTTGCTTTAAATGGATTATTAGTCTTTTTATTATTGGATTTTAGGAATTTGTTATATATTGTAGAAATAAGTTCCTTATCAAATATAATTTGGAAATATTTTCTCCCATCCTATGGGCTGTCTTTTTACTTTTTTCTAAGTGTCCCTTGAAGCACCAAAGTTGTTTTTTTTTTGTTTTAATGGAGTACAGTTCATCTCGGATTGTTGTTGCTTTTGTTTCTTTTGTGCTTTTGGTATAATATCTGAAAATCCACGAATACATCTGAAGTTATGAGGATTTATCTCTATGTATTCTTTTGAGAGTTCTATAGATTTAGCTCTAATCAATTTAAGTTAATTTTCGTATTTGGTGTATGGGTAAGAACCATAGCACATGGGTTTATTTCTGGACTCTCAAATGTATTTCATTTATCTGTGCATCTAATCTTGTAGTGGTACCACATTGTCTACCATTTCGATTACCATTTTGTTAAGGAGTAAGTTATGAAATCGGCAAGTGTGAGTCCTCCAACTTGGGTGTTGTGTGTGTGTGCGCGCGCGCGTATTCTAACAGAATGCATTTGTTCTAACTGTTCAGGTTCCTTACAATACCATATACATTTTAGATGCAGCTTGTTAATTTCTACAAATAAGCCAGCTCAAATTTAGATAGGGATTATGTTAAAGCTATAGATCTATTTGGGAAGTAGTGCCATCTTAACAATATTAAGTATTTTCATCCATGAACATGCAACTTTTTTTCATTTATTTAGATCTTTAATTTCTTTCAACAGTGCTTTGGTTTTTAGAGTTTAAGTTTCACATTTTTGTTAAATTTATTCTTAAATATTTTTTTGATGATGGTTTAAATGGAATTGTTTTCTTAATTTATTTTAGGGTGGTTTATTATAAGTGTTTAGAATAACAAGTGATATTTGTATATTGATTTTGTATTCTGCAACTTAGCTTAAACTCATTAGTTCTAAGAGTTTTTCGTATATTCTTTAGTTTTTTTCTATATGTAAGGTTATATCATCAGTGAGTAGAAGTAATTTTACTTCCTTTCTAGTGTGGATGCTTCTTATTTCTTTTTCTTGCTGAATTGCCTTGGCTAAAACCTCTAGGACATTGTAAAATGAAAGCTGTGAGAGCAAGCAGCCTTGTCTTTTGTTCTGATCTTAGGAGAAAAACGTGCTGTCTTATACTATTAAGTATGGTATTGGCTGTAGGTTTTTTGTAGTTAGCCTTTATCAGATTGAGAACCTCCTTCCTATTCCTAGTTTGCTGAGTGTTTTTATCATGAGAAAGCATTGAATATTGTCATGTTTTTTCTGTATTGAGATAATCATATGACTTTACTATTCTAGTAATGTGATATATCATGGTAATTGTTTTCTGGATATTATTTCTACCTTGCATTCCTGGGATAAATCCCACTTGGCCATGGTCTATAATTTTTTTAATATATATATTACTGGGTTCAGTTTGCTAATATTTTGTGGAGGATTTTTGTGTTTATATTTATTTGCACATTGATTTCAGTTTTATCTGGTTTTGGAATTGGGGTAATACTGGCTTCATAGAATGGAGAAATACTACTTCTGTTGTTTTAGAGAGTTTGTAAAGCTTTGATATTAATATTTCTTTAAATGTTTGGTAGAATTCACCATTGAAACCATCTGGTCCTGGTCTTTTCTTTGTGGGTAGTATTTTTGATTACTGATTCATTCTCTTTGCCTGCTATATGCCTGTTCCCAGTGTCTATTTCTTCTTAGTCTATTTTGGTAGTTTATGTTTTCTTCGGAATTTTTCTGTTTCATCTAACTTATCTAATTTATTGGAATACAGTTGCTCATAGTATTCCTTTATAGTCAACTTCATTTCATGAATGTTGATAACAATGTCCCCTGTCTAATAATTTCTTTTCTTCTTCTCCTTTTTTTTCTGTCAATCTAACTAAAGTTTTATCAATTTTGTTTATCTTTTTAATGAATAAGCTTTTGGTTTTATTGACTTTATTGTTTTTCTATTTCATAATAATGTCTTCATACTAATAGAAATATATTTATTTTTAAATTAGTTTTTCACAATAGAAATTAAGATATATCAAGTATTTGAAAATGTTGCATGAGCATTTTATTTGTTTTATCAGATTCTCAGATACTTAACACTGGAGATGACTTGAAAGAAAATGTCAGAAGTGAACCAGTGCTGCTTACCAGGGGAAGGTATGATCTGGAGAAACCGCACAGTGTCACTCGAGGCACTCAGACAAGTCCAGAGGTTCCTTGGCCTTCACAGTCAGTTAACTGTCCTGACTGCTCCTTTGGCTTTACTGTGGAACAGGTAATGGGAAAACTTAATTTACTCTCATTCAGTTTCAGCAATTAAAATAAATGTTACATATTAAATAATTAAGAAGTTATTTATTTATTGAAGGAGCATTTGTAGAGTGCCTGTTATGAACCCCCGCACTGTGTTAGATGTTACAGATGTAGTTTGAGCAAGATAGGAGCAGACTTAGCCTTCAGAGAGGTTGTAGTCTAACGGGGAGACGTAGGGGTAAATGTGGGAGAGTGCCGGTTTCTTGAATCTAGGAATGCTTCCTGGAGGATATATTCATTTTGATCTCTTATTTTTAAGTTGCAAAAGTATTATAATATTTCAGAAAAATATTTTTAAACCACTTTAATACTTTCTAACCTCCTGAAGTGCTATTAATTCTTCTTTATTTTCCTCTCAGGCCCTTTGCCATAATTTTCCTACACAATTGTTATTTTAGTGTATATGTTGTATTAGTTTTTACTTAATATTTAACAATTTTAAAAATATTGCTACATAGGCTTCATATTCATTTTTAATGGAAGAGTAATGTGGATGTCGATGTACTCTCATTTCTAAACTTTCTGTTAACATTGGTTAATATTTGACTTGCTTCTTATTTTTTGCCATTGTAAATAAATAAAATGTCCAGCAGAAGTTTAATTCTGTGTGATAGAACTACAGAATGAATTCATTTATGTTCAACAGGATATGTTGGATGTCAGCTGTGAGCTAGGATATAGAATTGAACAGTATACCATCCTTATCTATTGAGAAACTCAAAGTCTAGTGGGAAAGAGAGGGGCATGTAATGGGTGCTTAAAACATACCACCAATTGTAATGCTGTACTAGAGACTGAGGAAACACAGGAAAGTGCCCTGCCTGGTTTATAAAGCAGGAATTCTTAAACTGGGACTAAATGAAGTCTGAGAACTCTTTGAAATTAAATGTATATATTTTGATGTATCTGTAAATGCATTTTTTTCTGGGGGAGAAAGTACTTAGTTATATCAAATCTTTATAGTCAGGGGTTAGGGAATAGTTCTAAGAGGATAAAATACTTGAACCAAGTGAAATGAGGGAGACCTATTGGTCATCTAGGTGAAGATGCCTAACGAGATACTCAGAATGTGGGTCTGAGGCTCAGGAGAGTGGTTTACACTGGATCAGGCTCCATATGATAGTTGGAGCCACAGGAATACATGAGGTCACCTAAGAGAGTGACTGAAGTGATAATGGAAGATGACCAATTATGGAGTCTAACAGAATGTTAAAATGTAAAGATTCTTACCCAGCAGAAGAAAAGATGAGAAGCTCATATGTGGAGAGCAATAAACATGAAAGAGCTGTGGCAGAAAAGGAGAGAGACACTTAGGAAACTGAGGTGAGGTCAGCATTGTCTAAAGCCACAGAGAGGTCCAGGGAAGTTAAAATTAAACTAAATCATGGTTAGATTTTGAAATTTGGATTTAATTGTTGTTTTGAATTGCTGGGTCAAAAACTTGCAAACATAAAGCCTTGAAATGTGTTCCCAACTAGTTTCTCAAAGCAGTTTTCAGCGTAAGTGCATTCTTAGCATCATTGGGTATTTTTACTGTTCCAAGTGTCACACCTTTAGCTTCTATATAAATTGTCTGTATTTTCTGAAAATGATTAAATTCTCTGATTTTTCAAACGTGTCATTTCAGCTCTTGGAAGAGAATGAATCTCTTAAGCAAGAATTGGCTAAAGCCAAAATGGCCCTTGCAGAGGCTCACTTGGAAAAAGATGCTCTTCATCATCATCTAAAGAAGATGACAGTTGAATAGCGGGAGTGGCAGTCAAAAATTCAAATTATAACTCTGGAGCAGGGAGATTATATTTATAATGTGATGTTACCAATTAGCCAGAGAATTTGCTTTTCATGAAAAGACAATAAAATGAAATGGAACATGATGAAGTCGTGACTATTCCAAAGCCAGTTTAGGAAATATTAGGTACGGGCATTACAATCTTTTGGTTGTTTTGTGTTTTGGGTTTAACCCTCTTTTAAACTGGTGTGATATAGGGAAGTCAGTGCATACTGTAAAATAATTACATGCCTAATGAAAAGAAGATGTCATTTCCTAATTTTGATATCACACTATAGGCATTTTTTAAAAAGAAAAATGAAACCTATTCTGTTCCACAGATAATAATTACTATTATTTACAAAGTTTCAGATGCTTTTAGGGCTAATGTAAAATAAAAGGCTTTCATTTTAAATGTTATTAAAATAACGTGCTTAAATCTCTAATTATTTAATTACTGTACAAGTCCAATCAGATTATAAATTACATAATTACTGGGTTTGAATTATCACCCTACTGATCCTATAAAGTAATTTGAAGATGTGAAAAATAAATCATTTTAAATGATGGGTAAACTGTATAACGTGATGCTATAATTTTCAACAAGAAAAGATGGTACAAGTGTAAAAATAAAAAGCACAAACTGTAAAAAGCAAAACATTGGAATATATGGCCGACTGATTTAAAAACATTACTTGTACATTCCTTGAAATATTTATTGTTATAAGTAAAAGAGTAGTTTGACTATTCTGCTAAATTTGGCAGCATTTATAACTGTACGAATTTTAATTAATACTATTTATATTATTTCTTTATCTTTTCTGTATTTAAGGAGGGGGATGTTTTCAGAGAATTTTCTTTATACATACAAAAAACAATTTGATACCATTCTTGTAGTATCAGATTAGGTGGATGTTTGCACATACCCAATTTATATAGCTAGTTTTGATTAAAGTTCTTTGTGACATATATACTATCTTCTATAATAATAATAATTGCTAAATTTTGAATTCTATTTTCTAGGAATTGTTATGGTTGAAGTCAACAAGAGAGAGACTCTCAATCATGCATTATGAAATAAAAGTTCATGAGCGTTTAAGAAAGAGGCTTTTAAAGATTTAAAATATATTTCTGATAGAATTAAACTAAGTGGGGTCTATTTTAAAATTTACGTTCTTAAACATATCAAAGGTAGAACATGAAACAGCTGGACTACTTTTCTTTAACATACTTGAAAATTTTAAACCACATTACGACACTTTTATGGTGCTTTGCTTGTTGGCATGACTAACATAGCCATCCCTATATCTGAGTACTTGCAGGAAAATACAGGTTTCATTTACTTAAGTGTTGGAGTGGCTTAGATTTTACTGACAACTCTGCTGGCCTTTTTTCTGCTATAACACCCATTTTCATTGACATGGTTTTTAAATACAGGTCCTGTTTTGGGAGCCAAGGATACAGCAAAGAACAAATTTAAATTGTTAATATTTTACCTCAGAGTATTTAAAAATTATGTTAAACTATGTTAATCTAAAACTATTTAATAGTCTTAGATTAAAAACAAGATCTAATTAAAGATTTGAAATGTATAGCTAATATCTCTTTTTCTTTTGATGTATGGTATATCTTCAACAAATGCAGTCTCATATAAAAAAGCAGATTTGATGGGACATGAACTTCTTCAGAGCTGACAGTGTTTCTCAGGATTCACCTATGTGTTCTATAAAAATTTTAAATTTGTGGTATCTTTTAATTATTAGTGTTATATAAGCCAAATGTTTTCCTCATTCCTTCTCATTGGCCTTCTCAAGAGAATCATATACACAGTAGAGATGATAATTAATATGGATGTGAGCATTCTGTATGCTTTGATGGGTTTTTAAAAAAATTATAGTGTGTTATTTTTATAGAGATTTAAAATTCATAAAACCCTTCCAAAAAGCACTATCGTATATAATTCCCACCAGAAAAATATGGGAGATAGGTATTATTCACATTTTAGAAGTTAAATAAAAACTAGGTTGACTTGACTGAAGTGACAGTTAATAACCTGCTCTTTGGACTTAAATGCCAGTTATATACTCTTATTTTACGTTAGTCATTCATTCACACATTTTTGCCATGGGTGGGGAGAATCACTTACTGTCTTTTATCTGTTTTTCTTTTAAAGATAAATATAATACTTATAATAGTGTGTGTGCTATGTATTATTCAAACTGCTAAAATGATAGTGGGAGGACTTTTGATTGATTATGTGAATTCCAACTTTTTGGGTGGTATGAGAAATACAGGAATAAGGCTATAAAAAACTTACCAGAGTTCTTACATCACCACAAATTACAACTGAAGTTGCCATGTCCTGAAAAAAATTTTTTTTTTCTAAATTTCTAGCAGAGATATTAGTGATTGGGGAGAGAAATGCTAATTGTGTTTTGCATTTTAATCTTGTGTATGTCAAAAACATTTTCTTGGTAGCTTGTATATTTTTCTTTTCTCATTTTATCCTAAAATTTCAAAAGGCCACCTTGTGATACTAGTTGTGGTGAAACATTATTTTTATTTAAGCAATGTAAAAATGGCTGCGTACGATTGCAGGCAAATATATGTGGGTTTTTATTTTAGTTATTGTTATTCAATACTGGCCAATACAGAAATTATAACTTCCTTTTCAACAAGTTTTTATTAACCTCCAGTTTTTCAAAGCATCTTCTGTTTCAGTGAATGTCAACACCATCACCCTGGTTCCCAAGCTAGTCACCTATAATTCACCTTAGGCCTATGCTCTCCATAACCCTCTTTCTCTACCTTTGCCCCCATCGATTCATTACCAGGTCTTGGCATTTAACCTTGCAAACATCCCTCAAATTCATCCACTTTCCTAATCTAAGCTGCCATCTGCGCCTTTGCCTTGCATTACCTTAATTGCCTCCGAACAGGTCTTCCTAAGCCATCCTGGACCTCCTCTGGGTCATTCTCTATATACAGGCAGATTTCTTGTCTTTGAAGTGCAGTTTTAATGAAGGCAGCCCACCTATCCCTTTCTTTCCCTTAGCTTACAGCATTTCAGAGACTTTTCATTGCTCTTAGGATGGAAACAAAAATATTTTGTGACCTGTGATTAGGGCCACCATTTACTTTATAGGGTTACTCTAAGCATTAAAAGAGTTAATGTCTCATAAAATGACAACAGTGGCTGGCACATCACCTTAAAAAGCACTCAGTACAAGATATTATTATTGCTTAGTTCGCCTCATCGTGTTCCATGTTTCAGTTACTTTGCGTTCTGCTTTGGTTGCACTTTAAGTATCTGGAATAAATGAGAATAGAGTGGTTCTTCCACATTGGAAACTGTTCATGCTATTCCTTTGATTTGAAATATCTTTCAAATCACTCATTGCCTAGTTAACTCCCATTTGTGTTTCAGATCTCAGCTCATTCTCTGATTTCTGTCACAAAGCAAGACTGCTGTTACACATAATCATATGAACACATACCTCTAGTTAGTATTGAACACCTTTGTAATTTAATATGTATTTGTTTGATTAATGTAGACCCTCTAAATTGTAAACTCCATGAAAGTAGGGATTATGTTTGTGTTGTTGTCATTGTTCAACTTTGTATTCCTTATGCCTCCTCATACAGTGCCTGGCACATAGTAGGTGCTCAATAAATTTGTTCAAAGAATAAAATGGATAAGGTATCAAGGATGTTTTCAGGTATCGCGTTCTTCCTCTCAGTTGGATTGATGGGAGATGGAACATAGGCTGAAAAGTAGGTGCTGGTGGTTACAAAGGACAGACTCCTTTATCCACAGTGGGAAAGGTGGGGGAATAGAGAAATTTGCCATACTGTGTTCTTAAGAATTTTGAATATCTGAACTCCTAGTTAATTTATTGCAAGCCATCCAGAAGCAAAATTAGCATAGCACTTCATAAAACTACTACAGTGCCAGAAGGTCATCTGTCTTTGATTGTAGCATATGTTGTTGTGGCTGTCGAGATCAGCTAAACAGAATGGAAACAAGGCCGAAAGAGTAGTGGCTGAAAGTTTTCGCTTTTGAGAACTTGAGTGATAACACAGTATCTGTTGTGCTGAATTCCTTAAAGTGCAAGCAGTCTCATTTTAGCTTATGCCTAGAGAGGCAAAGGAAAGTAAATGTTGAACTTAACTTCAGTTTCCTTTTGGTATATGTAAGATATGGAAAGTTGAAATCACACAGGATATAAAAACACTAATGCAGTAATTTTAAAAAACCATTACATTATAATTTTTTAAAAGTGTTTTGCTGTCTTTATTGAGAAATACAAAACTTAAGGTAACATGAAGCAAAACAAGCATGGTGGTTTTTATAAACCATTAGATATTACCTAATGGATCATCATAAAGTGGAGGGAAATTCATGTTAATGTTACCATATTGAAATTCAGCATATCTGTTGCCAGCATTGCTGTGTTGTCTTGACAGATTTGAGAGTTTGAAGTTTTAAGAGAAAAATTTTAAGAAATATGAAGTCAACTTAATGTCTTTTTTCTATTTATATGATAAAACATTTATGATAATTTGTTTGATCTTAGAAAAATAAGGTATCTAAACTACCAAGAAGAATAATCTGGATTTTAAAAGACCCTGAAAAATTATTTGGACAAAAAGACAATACTTATAAATTAGATTTTATTTTCAATTTGTATTATCAATCAAAAGTTGGTTCATTCGTTGCAAGTTATACTTAACCACATGGTAAGTAAAGTTTCTCATTCTTGACTTGATTCTTAATTTTTATGTGAAGAAATATTTGATTATTTAGGTGAAATACTTGGTGTTTTGGTGGTTAGGAGAGTACAGTGAGGTGATTAACCTTTTTCTTGTGATCATTTAGCAGAATTGTTTTGGTTGGTATGACAGAAAAAGAACTCAAATGGTCATAAATGTCATCAAGAATAAAAGACATAGGCACATGAATAAAGGTTTAAATAAGTAGAGATTACAAGAATTCCTATAAGATATGGGTGAAATAAATTTATAGGGGTATGACCAAAGTGCATCTTTCACAGTATTTTAAATCACTCCAATTAAAATAGATACACAGTAAAATCAGAACAGGAGCATTTAAAAATAGCCACAGTGAACAAATCCAGTGTAAGGAAATATGTTGAACAAAATTCCAATAATTAAGGACTTGAGAAAGATTTATGATAAAGAATTCACTTGGTGTATCGTATGAATTAAAGCCTAAAACAAAAAATAAAAACAGAAATTCTTCATTTTGTGTAAAAATTGGCATATGCAGAAATTGTTCAGTAATGATATGCCCACAAAAATATATTTATTGGAATCTAAAGATTCCAATTTTGACATAAATATTCAGGGCATTCATTGCTGTTAGAGACATTTTATTGATATAACAGTAATGTGGCATCTTAGCATTTTTTATTGATATAACAGTAATGTGGCATCTTAGCATTTTGTCTGAATTCAATATATTTACTTAATTCTTATTAGCATAATTAGCATAGATATGATAATCATTTGGTGCTTCTGATTTATTTTTACTTTCTCTATTCCTTGCAGTCTAATGAGATTTTTTCCACAGAAAACATTAAAGCTATGAAGGCAAAGAGTTCTAAAGAGGGATACAAAATTAGCAAATAAAGCAACTTTTTAATATTTTATTTCTATAAATTTCCAGAACTAAAGGCATTCTCATACTGTAATATCAATATAAAAACATGTGAAAGCCAAGTATACTAAAACTAGTAGGTTCTTGCTTCTTAGCATAAATACTTGAGAATTACTGTAATATATGTAAGCCTTTCATATATTTTAATGGGAATCTAGTTTTTACCTGTATCTTTATTAAGTCCCCTCCCCCGACTTTTGTCTTCAGAATTGTTTCTTGTTAATATATTTTGCTGAGTAGGCTTCAGCTTTGATTTCCTTTTGATCCACTTGTTGGGCAGTTTTGTTATGTCTAGAGGTCATTATAGTGTGACCAGTTTTAGAAACTAAAGCACAACTAATATAAAAATATACACTACAAAGTCCCTTTTGCTGTGTAAAACAACATAAAATTCAGAGCAGAGAGGTGGGTATCATTATTCCCCTTACCACAGCCTTCTTGTACTCTTGGTTCTATTTTTAATTTTTTAAGCATAATTGGTTGGATTGTCCACTAGTTCTAAAATACCTTAATATATCTTTTGAGCGTACTGAGTTATTACTGTTAATGTTATTTCTCGTTTTCTAGCTACACAAATTATTAGACACTTACATTTATGTAACCATGGACTACTTTTCCTCCTTAATATTACCATGAACATTTCCCCATGTCACTGTTAGTTCTTTATAAAAATAATCTTAATTACTGTATAATGTTTCATTGAGTAGAATACTAAAATTTAACAATGGCTGTATTAATCATTCGGGATTTCCCAATGTTTTATCATTGCAAATAACTAATGCACATTTTTGTGCCAAAAGATTATCCATGTGTTGGATTATTAGTATAGATTCCCAAAAGTAGAATAACTGCATCAAAGGCCGTGAATTTCCTGTGATCAAAACTACTTTCCAAAAGTCTTCAGCAAAGCTTGAATGCTCAGAGGCACTGTCACCAATAGTGAATATCGTCATTAAGAACAAGGCAAACAAAGGCTGCAATGAAAGGACATAAGGCAATGTCTCAGAGTCATAGGGAAGTAAAAAAATGTCGGTAAAGGTAAATGTATAAGCAGTTACAAGAGATTATTGTAATAATGGTGTGTGACTTTTTTCTACAAGATGAAACTTTAAAAATTGTTAGTCTGAAAGCTAGCATTCTAACTTTGTTTTGTAACTCCATATTTTTTACGTAATTTAGGAGACCAAGACGTTAAAAATTAATTAGCTTATGTCTTTGGACACAGTGTATAAAGTATAATTTTGTGTGACATTAACAACTGAAAGGAGTAGGAGCAGAAGTGAGAAGTTGGGGCCTGAATATATTTTGAAGGTGCGTCTGTTGAGCATTTGGGTTGTATGTGTGAAAGATAAGACTCTAGAGTTAATCTATGGTTTCTGACCTGAGCAAGCAATTTACTGAAATGCCAAGTGGAGTGTTCAGCCTCTCTGGACCTGAAATGTTGTGCTGTGATCACACACACCCATTCAGCAAGCAAACAAAATTCCTGCAGATAACTCTCCCTAGACTTAGTTGGGAACCATCTGTAGTTACTTGAGCACATCTCTTTTGTGTAAGTAAGTATGTATGTGTGTAAGGTACGATGGATGTTAGTTAGCTCCTTCCCTAAGTAGCTAGTATACAGGGTTCAGCACAAATAATGCCCCTTTTTTGTTACATAAAAATCTCATTACAAAATCATAAGCATGCAATTCTGTAACATAACTATCACACTCAAGCACACCATATGACATTTTAGGTGAAATGTTCAAGTTAAAATTATAAATTATTACACCCATAGAATTACCCTACCAACCACACTCAAGCAAGACTGCCTTCTGCCGGACCCAGTAGATAAAAAACAGAAGAGGTTTAAAGACAGCTCCTTGTCACTCCAGTGTTCATGGGTCAGAGAGGTGAGGAAGAACCATGACAGATGACCAAGAAGCAGTGACAGGAAGAAAATCAGGACAGTGTGAAGAAATTGATTAAGAAGGGGGAAATGACTGTCTATGTTAAATGCTGCTCAAAGGTCAAAAAGGTGAGTGGTGAAAAATCAACAATTAGATTTCACAATATGGACATGATTGGTCACCTTGAAAATGGTTTCAATACGAACAGGAGCAAGACCTGTTTGCAGTGGGGCACAGGAGACAATAAAAGATGAAAAATGGGAGAGAATGAGCATAGACACCACTAAAGGAGTTTCATATGAAAAGGGAAGCTAACCATATAATTTACAATCCAAATTGGAACACGTTTGCAAAGGGCACCATTAATAATTAAGCCAAAATTTAATTAATTAATAATCAAGTGTAAATGATCTTTCATGACAAACTAAAACATTTCACAAAGGAAGGGAGAGAGGGCTATGACTGGAAATGATGGTGGGTTTTGTTTTTTTAAGGGAGAAATAGTAGGTAATAGGGATCCAGTAGAGAGGGGAAGTTTTATGATGGAGAAAAATGACGTTTTTGGAGCAATGTCTTTGGGTAGGCCAGAGGAGATCGTATACAGTGCACAAGTGGAATGGCTGGTTTTAGCCAGGAGCACAGAAGGCAAAAGATACGGGGGCAAATGCAGGTAGGGGAGGTGATGTCTTGGGAGCTCATGGAAATTTTCTTACTGAGATAGGTCATTAGCTGAGTGAAGATTAGGGAGGAGTTACTGGAGGTTTTAGGACAGAAGATAGGGAATAGCTTTATAGGAGAAATGAATGAATGGAGTAGAGAAATACAATATATTTGCCAAGCACCATTAGGGTCCAATTGCATTTAGTCATGTGTTCAAGTGAGACCAGTCAATGTGGTGGTGCGTTTTTCTCAAGCCAAGTTTCACTGCAGGTATAGTCAGAGAGTGCTGAAAATTGGATTTATTGTTTAGTCAAGTATATTGAAGTAAGCAAGGGAATTCAAGTGATATACAGGTAATGATTTTATCATTGGACTAATAATTTTTGTCATTTTTTCATTTGGCCATATATAACCTGGTGTATTAGTTTCATAGGGCTATAACAAAAATACCACAAACTTGAGTGGTTTAAAACAATAGAAATTTATTTCACATTTCTGGAGGCTAGAAGGCTGCAGTCAAGGTGTTGGCAGGTCCATGCTCCGTCCGAAGCTTTTAGGGGAGGATCTTTCCTTGCCTCTTTCAGCTTTTGGTGGCCCCAGGCATCTGTTCCTTGGCTGTGATTGCAGAATTCAAATCCCTACCTCTGTCTTCATATGGTTGTCTAAATTTTCCCCTTTTTTAAGGATACCAGTCATACTGGGTTAAGGCCCATCCTTAATTAATGGTAATAGGATCTAGAATGACAAGGAGTGAAAAGCTAACGAAGTGAACAGTCTCATTGAAGGAGGGGAGACCAAGGAACTGAGATACCAGGGTGTTGGATGGCTCAACAGTAAGTCCCCAAGAATAATGACAAAAGGAGTATTAAAGCGAAGTGATCCAGAAGCTAAAGTGTTCAGGGACCAAGAAGGAGTAAACGATGGTGCTGGAATATAACTGCAGCAAGACTGAGTAGTG